CTGAGTCTCCCATAGGGTTCACTATGAGGGCTGAGTCTCCCATAGGGTTCACTATGAGGGCTCTCAGAACCAGGCTGAGTCTCCCATAGGGTTCACTCTGAGTGCTCACAGAGCCAGGCTGAGTCTCCCATAGGGTTCACTCTGAGTGCTCTCAGAGCCAGGCTGAGTCTCCCATAGGGTTCACTGTGAGGGCTGAGTCTCCCATAGGGTTCACTAGGAGGGCTCTCAGAGCCAGGCTGAGTCTCCCATAGGGTTCACTATGAGGGCTGAGTCTCCCATAGGGTTCACTATGAGGGCTCTCAGAGCCAGGCTGAGTCTCCCATAGGGTTCACTCTGAGTGCTCACAGAGCCAGGCTGAGTCTCCCATAGGGTTCACTCTGAGTGCTCTCAGAGCCAGGCTGAGTCTCCCATAGGGTTCACTATGAGGGCTCACAGAGCCAGGCTGAGTCTCCCGTAGGGTTCACTTTGAGGGCTCTCAGAGCCAGGCTGAGTCTCCCATAGGGTTCACTGTGAGGGCTTACAGAGCCAGGCTGAGTCTCCCATAGGGTTCACTAGGAGGGCTCTCAGAGCCAGGCTGAGTCTCCCATAGGGTTCACTGTGAGGGCTGAGTCCTCCCATATGGTTCACTATGAGGGCTCTCAGAGCCAGGCTGAGTCTCCCATAGGGTTCACTGTGAGGGCTCACAGAGCCAGGCTGAGTCTCCCATAGGGTTCACTATGAGGGTTCACAGAGCCAAGCTGAGTCTCCCATAGGGTTCACTATGAGGGCTCTCAGAGCCAGGCTGAGTCTCCCATAGGGTTCACTATGAGGGCTCTCAGAGCCAGGCTGAGTCTCCCATAGGGTTCACTGTGAGGGCTCACAGAGCCAGGCTGAGTCTCCCATAGGGTTCACTATGAGGGCTCTCAGAGCCAGGCTGAGTCTCCCATAGGGTTCACTGTGAGGGGTCACAGAGCCAGGCTGAGTCTCCCATAGGGTTCACTATGAGGGCTCACAGCCAGGCTGAGTCTCCCATAGGGTTCACTATGAGGGCTCTCAGAGCCAGGCTGAGTCTCCCATAGGGTTCACTGAGGGCTTACAGAGCCAGACTGAGTCTCCCATAGGGTTCACTATGAGGGCTCTCAGAGCCAGGCTGAGTCTCCCATAGGGTTCACTGTGAGGGGTCACAGAGCCAGGCTGAGTCTCCCATAGGGTTCACTATGAGGGCTCACAGCCAGGCTGAGTCTCCCATAGGGTTCACTATGAGGGCTCTCAGAGCCAGGCTGAGTCTCCCATAGTGTTCACTGAGGGCTTACAGAGCCAGACTGAGTCTCCCATAGGGTTCACTATGAGGGCTGAGTCTCCCATAGGGTTCACTATGAGGGCTCTCAGAACCAGGCTGAGTCCTCCCATAGGGTTCACTCTGAGTGCTCACAGAGCCAGGCTGAGTCTCCCATAGGGTTCACTCTGAGTGCTCTCAGAGCCAGGCTGAGTCTCCCATAGGGTTCACTATGAGGGCTGAGTCTCCCTTAGGGTTCACTATGAGGGCTCTCAGAACCAGGCTAAGTCTCCCATAGGGTTCACTCTGAGTGCTCACAGAGCCAGGCTGAGTCTCCCATAGGGTTCACTCTGAGGGCTCTCAGAGCCAGGCTGAGTCTCCCATAGGGTTCACTCTGAGTGCTCACAGAGCCAGGCTGAGTCTCCCGTATGGTTCACTCTGAGTGTTCTCAGAGCCAGGCTGAGTCTCCCATAGGGTTCACTATGAGGGCTCACAGAGCCAGGCTGAGTCTCCCGTATGGTTCACTTTGAGGGCTCTCAGAGCCAGGCTGAGTCTCCCATAGGGTTCACTGTGAGGGCTTACAGAGCCAGGCTGAGTCTCCCATAGGGTTCACTAGGAGGGCTCACAGAGCCAGGCTGAGTCTCCCATAGGGTTCACTAGGAGGGCTCTCAGAGCCAGGCTGAGTCTCCCATAGGGTTCACTGTGAGGGCTGAGTCTCCCATAGGGTTCACTAGGAGGGCTCTCAGAGCCAGGCTGAGTCTCCCATAGGGTTCACTATGAGGGCTGAGTCTCCCATAGGGTTCACTATGAGGGCTCTCAGAGCCAGGCTGATTCTCCCATAGGGTTCACTGTGAGGGCTCACAGAGCCAGGCTGAGTCTCCCATAGGGTTCACTCTGAGGGCTCTCAGAGCCAGGCTGAGTCTCCCATAGGGTTCACTCTGAGTGCTCACAGAGCCAGGCTGAGTCTCCCGTATGGTTCACTTTGAGGGCTCTCAGAGCCAGGCTGAGTCTCCCATAGGGTTCACTGTGAGGGCTTACAGAGCCAGGCTGAGTCTCCCATAGGGTTCACTAGGAGGGCTCTCAGAGCCAGGCTGAGTCTCCCATAGGGTTCACTATGAGGGCTGAGTCTCCCATAGGGTTCACTATGAGGGCTCTCAGAACCAGGCTGAGTCTCCCATAGGGTTCACTCTGAGTGCTCACAGAGCCAGGCTGAGTCTCCCATAGGGTTCACTCTGAGTGCTCTCAGAGCCAGGCTGAGTCTCCCATAGGGTTCACTATGAGGGCTGAGTCTCCCATAGGGTTCACTATGAGGGCTCTCAGAACCAGGCTGAGTCTCCCATAGGGTTCACTCTGAGTGCTCACAGAGCCAGGCTGAGTCTCCCATAGGGTTCACTATGAGGGCTCACAGAGCCAGGCTGAGTCTCCCGTATGGTTCACTTTGAGGGCTCTCAGAGCCAGGCTGAGTCTCCCATAGGGTTCACTGTGAGGGCTTACAGAGCCAGGCTGAGTCTCCCATAGGGTTCACTAGGAGGGCTCTCAGAGCCAGGCTGAGTCTCCCATAGGGTTCACTGTGAGGGCTGAGTCTCCCATAGGGTTCACTATGAGGGCTCTCAGAGCCAGGCTGAGTCTCCCATAGGGTTCACTGTGAGGGCTCACAGAGCCAGGCTGAGTCTCCCATAGGGTTCACTATGAGGGCTGAGTCTCCCATAGGGTTCACTATGAGGGCTCTCAGAGCCAGGCTGAGTCTCCCATAGGGTTCACTGTGAGGGCTCACAGAGCCAGGCTGAGTCTCCCATAGGGTTCACTCTGAGGGCTCTCAGAGCCAGGCTGAGTCTCCCATAGGGTTCACTCTGAGTGCTCACAGAGCCAGGCTGAGTCTCCCGTATGGTTCACTCTGAGTGTTCTCAGAGCCAGGCTGAGTCTCCCATAGGGTTCACTATGAGGGCTCACAGAGCCAGGCTGAGTCTCCCGTATGGTTCACTTTGAGGGCTCTCAGAGCCAGGCTGAGTCTCCCATAGGGTTCACTGTGAGGGCTTACAGAGCCAGGCTGAGTCTCCCATAGGGTTCACTAGGAGGGCTTACAGAGCCAGGCTGAGTCTCCCATAGGGTTCACTAGGAGGGCTCTCAGAGCCAGGCTGAGTCTCCCATAGGGTTCACTGTGAGGGCTGAGTCTCCCATAGGGTTCACTAGGAGGGCTCTCAGAGCCAGGCTGAGTTTCCCATAGGGTTCACTATGAGGGCTGAGTCTCCCATAGGGTTCACTATGAGGGCTCTCAGAGCCAGGCTGAGTCTCCCATAGGGTTCACTGTGAGGGCTCACAGAGCCAGGCTGAGTCTCCCATAGGGTTCACTCTGAGGGCTCTCAGAGCCAGGCTGAGTCTCCCATAGGGTTCACTCTGAGTGCTCACAGAGCCAGGCTGAGTCTCCCGTATGGTTCACTCTGAGTGCTCTCAGAGCCAGGCTGAGTCTCCCATAGGGTTCACTATGAGGGCTCACAGAGCCAGGCTGAGTCTCCCGTATGGTTCACTTTGAGGGCTCTCAGAGCCAGGCTGAGTCTCCCATAGGGTTCACTGTGAGGGCTTACAGAGCCAGGCTGAGTCTCCCATAGGGTTCACTAGGAGGGCTCTCAGAGCCAGGCTGAGTCTCCCATAGGGTTCACTGTGAGGGCTGAGTCTCCCATAGGGTTCACTAGGAGGGCTCTCAGATGCAGGCTGAGTCTCCCATAGGGTTCACTATGAGGGCTGAGTCTCCCATAGGGTTCACTATGAGGGCTCTCAGAGCCAGGCTGAGTCTCCCATAGGGTTCACTCTGAGTGCTCACAGAGCCAGGCTGAGTCTCCCATAGGGTTCACTCTGAGTGCTCTCAGAGCCAGGCTGAGTCTCCCATAGGGTTCACTATGAGGGCTCACAGAGCCAGGCTGATTCTCCCGTATGGTTCACTTTGAGGGCTCTCAGAGCCAGGCTGAGTCTCCCATAGGGTTCACTGTGAGGGCTCTCAGAGCCAGGCTGAGTCTCCCATAGGGTTCACTATGAGGGCTCTCAGAGCCAGGCTGAGTCTCCCATAGGGTTCACTGTGAGGGCTCACAGAGCCAGGCTGAGTCTCCCATAGGGTTCACTATGAGTGCTCTCAGAGCCAGGCTGAGTCTCCCATAGGGTTCACTGTGAGGGGTCACAGAGCCAGGCTGAGTCTCCCATAGGGTTCACTATGAGGGCTCACAGCCAGGCTGAGTCTCACATAGGGTTCACTATGAGGGCTCTCAGAGCCAGGCTGAGTCTCCCATAGGGTTCACTGAGGGCTTACAGAGCCAGACTGAGTCTCCCATAGGGTTCACTATGAGGGCTCTCAGAGCCAGGCTGAGTCTCCCATAGGGTTCACTGTGAGGGGTCACAGAGCCAGGCTGAGTCTCCCATAGGGTTCACTATGAGGGCTCACAGCCAGGCTGAGTCTCCCATAGGGTTCACTATGAGGGCTCTCAGAGCCAGGCTGAGTCTCCCATAGGGTTCACTGAGGGCTTACAGAGCCAGACTGAGTCTCCCATAGGGTTCACTATGAGGGCTCTCAGAGCCAGGCTGAGTCTCCCATAGGGTTCACTCTGAGGGCTCACAGTGCTAGAGCGAGGCTCCCCGGTAGGGTTCGGCAGACGAGCGTGAACACTTCTCCCCTCTCACCACGTGTGCATGGTTTCGCGCGTTCAAACTGTGCGGGTGTTCGTGACGCTGGCTGCTGCTGTTTGTTTGTCTCGCGCAGGGTTCTGAGCGCACGGCGGGGGGGAGTCGCATCATCAACTCCTCTCCCACACGCGTGGAGATCTTTTTTTCCTTTTTTTTTACTCAGCCGCAAAATGTTCCGTCGATGCCGGACACGGCAAGCGGGTTGACATTCTCCCGTCACAAAGCCGCACGCAAAACAGCGGGGGGCGAATTCGGCGCAGGCTGGACGGAGAGCCCCGGCACGCCGCTCCGGGTCCTTGCAGTTTTCCAAAAAAAAAAAAAAATTCCCGTGCCTTCGAGTTACAGTTTCAGCGATCAAACGATTTGTCGTCAAACCGCCCGGACGCTCAGGCCTCGCCACCGCCGCGCACCGCCTTCAGCTTTTTTAAAAGGATCCGGCACCACCACCCGCCACCACCGCCGTGCGTCGGCCCCAGTCATGACGTCGATTTCAAGGCCGCGCTGCGGGGAATGAAGGTGACTCTTTTTGAAAAAAAAAAAAAAACACAGAAAAACTTGGTGAGACATTCCGTGGCTGCGCCGCCCTCTGCCCCCCGGAGACGTCGTCTGCAGAACTCTGCCTCCCTCGCGCTCGGGAATACGTCGCGTTGAAAATCGACTGCTTTTGGGAAAACAGAAACAAAAAAGGCACCTGTCGGACGACGACGACGACGATGAGAACAGCCGTAGCAATAAAATAACGTCGGCATCAAGCACCAAGGACGCCCACCACCACCACCACCCCCCCGCATCGCCGGTTCGACCGATGCGAGCGACTCTTCGGTACGTCCCAGCGCCGCTTCCACGCAAACTCCGGTCGTCGTCGCCCTCGCAGCGGCGGCAGCGGCGGCAGCGGCGGCTTCGGCGGCTTCGGCGGCCTCTGGCTCGGCCATCGGACGAGGACGGCGGTGCCCGCGTCGTCGCGCGGTGCTCTGGGATGCCCTTCCGTGGCCGTCTGGAACGCCCTTCCTTCCGATATTAGGAAGCGTCTGGAGCTACGCAATTTTGGATGCTGACAGGAAAAAAAAAACACTCTGCTCTTTTAGAACAGGGCTCCGTGCGTCGGCGAGAGAAGTCCACCGTTGCGCGCACCGCCGCTCTTGTTCGGACGCCACGGGGTTTTTGGATATCCGCCTGTCGCGGTACGAGATGAGAGGAAAATAGTTGTCCACCCGACAGATTTTCACGTTTTTTTGGCGAGGGACCCTCCCATCGCGGGTTCTCGAAAAACCAAGAAAACAAAACCGCCCTCTAGTTTCTAAACAGCAACAGTGGCAACGGCAGCAGCAGCTGCACGAAATAAAAATCGCCAAGAGTCTGAAATCGGAACGCGCGAGCGTGGACATCCCTCCCCCCCCCCCCCCCCCGCTGGCTCGACGATGCTTCAGGACATCAAAGAGAGTCTCCGCCAGCGAGGAAAGGGCCAGGCTGATGGCCAGCCCAGGCCGTGGAGCGACTGCCCCTCCCAGAATGCATTGCTGCAGCAGCAGCTACAACAGCAGCAGCTACAACAGCAACAGCTGCAACAGCAGCAGCAGCAACAGCAGCAGCAGCAGCAGCAAGGCAGGGCGGCGGTGAAATTTGGACCGCACCAGAAGGCTCTGCTGGAGATCAGAAACTCGCTGCAGCCGTTCGCTTACGAAGGAGGGGATCAGCTCCAGGGGAACGAGGTGAGACGGGTGGCGGTGAAGAGGTCTGGGTTGGTTTGGGGTGGTGTGGGGGGAGAAGGGCGAGGGATCGTAATGGCCGTGTCGGGGATACCGAGCCATCATCGGGGAGTTTCTAGAAGCGCAATCGTTTCCGGATGTTTAAAGTTGTGCGCGGCTTTCCCTCGTGACTCATGAACTTGCCCATCTGCGAATTTGGCTATATCCGCGAATCGGATCTGGAAGTCAAGACGACTACTTCGCTGCATCGAGAGAGAGAGAGAGAGGGATAAAGCGATGAGAGATAGTGATGGGAGATAAAGTAATGAGATAAGTTTCAAGTATTAGCTTATTTATGTATAGACTCGTATAGACACCTATAGACTTGCATAGAGACGCATAGACACATCATCACACAGACCCATAGACTCACCACACAGAGACCCGTAGACTCATCACAGAGACCCATAGACTCATCACACAGAGACCCATAGACTCATCACACAGAAACCCATAGACTCATCACACAGAAACCCATGGACTCATCACACAGAGACCCACAGACTCACCACACAGAGACCCATAGACTCATCACAGATACCCATAGACTCATTACACAGAGACCCATAGACTCATTACACAGAGACCCATAGACTCCCCACACAGAGACCCACAGACTACCCACACAGACCCACAAACTCATCACACAGCGAACCACAGACTCATCACACAGAGACCCATAGACTCATCACACAGAGACCCTTAGACTCATCACACAGAGACCCATAGACTCATCACACAGAGACCCATAGACTCATCACAGAGACCCATAGACTCATCACACAGAGACCCACAAATTAATCACACAGAGACTCATAGACTAACTACACAGAGACCCATAGACTCATCACACAGAGACCCGCAGACTCACCACACAGAGACCCGCAGACTCACCACACAGAGACCCATAGACTCATTACACAGACTCATAGACTCATCACACAGAGACCCACAGACTCATCACACAGAGACCCATAGACTCATCACACAGAGACCCATAGACTCATCACACAGAGACCCATAGACTCATTACACAGAGACCCGTAGAATCACCACACAGAGACCCATAGACTTACACGGAATGAGTTGAGATTAAACCATGTTCTCGGGTTGACGGTCTCAGCCTCGGTCATCAATTGCTGTTCCCCTCTCTGCCCTCTCTGCCGTCTCTGTTTGTGTGCGTGCGCGTGCGTGTGTGTGTGCGTGTGTGCGTGTGCGTGCGTGCGTGTGCGTGCGTGCGTGTGTGTGCGTGTGTGTGTGCGTGTGTGTGTGCGTGCTGTTCTGCAGGATGGAGGGATTGGCTCGTCCAAGATCCATAATGGCCGTGTCAGCATGGAGATGGCAACCGATGCGGTTGCTAAACTGGGTGAGTTTAACACGTAGCGCGCTTCCGTGACCAATATCATCCATAATACAGGGGGGTTTTTTGGGGGTTAGATTGCGTAAATATATAAATGTTGTGTCGATTAAACCGCCACCACCCGACACAGCCAATTAGGAAGGGTTGTTACGTTAACATAACATGCCAATTTGTTACTAGTACAGCTCTGTGTGAGCCTATGGGTCTCTGTGAGTCTGAGTCTTTGTGTGAGTCTTTAGGTCTCTGCGTCTATGGGGTGTCTGTGCGAGTCTCCTGGTCTCTGTGTGAGTTGATGGGTGTCTGTGTGAGTCTGGGTCTCTGAGTATGGGTTTCTGTGTGAGCCTATGGTTCTCTGTGAGTCTATGGGTCTTTGTGTGAGTTTATGCGTCTCTGTGTGAGTCTATGGGTTTATGAGGCTATGGGTCTCTGTGTGAGCCTATGGGTCTCTGCGTAAGTCTATGGGTCTCTGCGTAAATCTTTGAGACTGTGAGTCTATGGGTCTCTGAGTCTAGGGGTGTCTGTGCGAGCCTATGGGCCTCCGTGTGAGTCTTTGGGTTTCTGCGTAAGTCTATGGGTATCTGTGTACGTCTGTGGGTCTCTGTGTGAGTCTATTGGTCTCTGTGTGAGTCTATGGGTCTCTGTGTGAGTCTATGGGTCTCTGTGTGAGTCTATGGGTCTCTGTGAGTCTATGGGTCTCTGTGAGTCTATGGGTCTCTGTGTGAGTCTATGGGTCTCTGTGGGAGTCTATTGGTCTCTGTTTGAGTCTTTGGGTCTTTGTGTGAGTCTATTGGTCTCTGTGTGAGTTCATGGGTCTCTGTGAGTCTATGGGTCTGTGTGAGTCTATGGGTCTCTGTGTGAGTCTATGGGTCTCTGTGTGAGTCTATGGGTCTCTTTGTGAGTCTATGGGTCTCTGCGTAAGTCTGGGTCTCTGCGTAAGTCTGTGGGTCTTTGTGTGAGTCTATGGGTCTCTGTGGGAGTCTATGGGTCTCTGTGTGAGTTCATGGGTCTCTGTGTGAGCTCATGGGTCTCTGTGTGAGTCTATTGGTCTCTGTGTAAATCTGTCGGTCTCTGTGTAAGTTTATGGGTCTTTGTGTGAGTTTATGGGTCTCTGTGTGAGTCTATGGGTCTATGAGGCTATGGGTTTCTGTGTGAGTCGATTGGTCTCTGTGTGAGTCTGTTGGTCTCTGTGTAAATCTGTCGGTCTCTGTGTAAGTCTATGGGTCTTTGTGTGAGTTTATGGGTCTCTGTGTGAGTCTATGGGTCTATGATGCTATGGGTCTCTGTGTGAGTCGATTGGTCTCTGTGGGAGTCTATTGGTCTCTGTGTGAGTCTGTGGGTCTCTGTGTGAGTCTATGGGTCTCTGTGTGAGTCTATAGGTCTCTATGTGAATTCATGGGTCTCTGTGTGAGTCTATTGGTCTCTGTGTAAATCTATGGGTCTTTGTGTGAGTTTATGGGTCTCCGTGTGAGTCTATGGGTCTATGAGGCTATGGGTCTCTGTGTCAGCCTATGGGTCTCTGCGTAAGTCTATGGGTCTCTGCGTAAGTCTTTGAGACTGTGAGTCTATAGGTCTCTGAGTCTAGGGGTGTCTGTGCGAGCCTATGGGTCTCCGTGTGAGTCTTTGGGTTTCTGCGTAAGTCTTTGGGTATCTGTGTACGTCTGTCGGTCTTTGTTTGAGTCTATGGGTCTCTGTGTGAGTTTGTGGGTCTCTGTGTGAGGCTATTGGTCTCTGTGTGAGTCTATGGGTCTCTGTGTGAGTCTATGGGTCTCTGGGAGTCTATTGGTCTCCGTGTGAGTCTATTGGTCTCTGTGTGAGTCTATGGGTCTCTGTGTGAGTCTATGGGTCTATGTGTGAGTCTATTGGTCTCTGTGTGAGTCTATGGGTCTCTGTGTGAGGTTCTTGGTCTCTGTGTGAGTTTGTGGGTCTATGTGTGAGTCTATTGGTCTCTGTGTGAGTCTATGGGTCTCTGTGGGAGTCTATGGGTCTCTGTGTGAGTCTATTGGTCTCTGTGTGAGTCTATTGGTCTCTGTGTAAGTCTATGGGTCTTTGTGTGAGCTTATGGGTCTCTGTGTGAGTCTATGGGTCTATGAGGCTATGGGTCTCTGTGTGAGTCGATTGGTCTCTGTGTGAGTCTATGGGTCTTTGTGTGAGTTTATGGGTCTCCGTGTGAGTCTATGGGTCTATGAGGCTATGGGTGTCTGTGTGAGTCTATTGGTCTTTGTGTGAGTCTCTTGGTCTCTGTGTGAGTCTATGGGTCTCTGTGCGAGTCTATGGATCTCTGTGTGAACCTATGGTCCTCTATTTGAGTCTATGGGTGTCTGTGTGAGTCTTTGTACGTGTGTTTGTTGAACTTATTTCGCACCGTATGTAGCCTGCCATGCTGTCCTCGTTATAAGTTGTACATTATCATAATAATAATAATTATTATTAAATAATAATATACAGGGTGCTTCCAAAAAAATGTTAACACTGAAACGGGACTATCGTTTTTAATGGAAAAAGAATGTATAATATTCTTCTTTGTTTTTTTTTGGTGAAGTCACGTGGAAATAATAAAAAATTAAATTATATAATAGCATACGACGTTTCGATCGCAACACAAGCAATCATCATCAGGTAGAGGAAACACATAACAAATTTGTGTCCCATTGTCTATGAGCCTTAGCCCTCCTACATCGCTGGCCCTCTTAAAGCCTCGGGACAGATTTACTTTACTCCTTAACTGTGCGCGCGTCTCCCCCCCAAAGGTCTCTCTACGGTAAGTATTCTATCACTATCTTAAATTTCACACTTAACTTACAATTTAACAATCTTTGAAACAGCGTATTCAACCAAACCATGCGTTAATTGTGTTTTAACCGACCGTTTGTGTTGCTTTATATATTTTACAAATTTTGCTAAACCCTGTTTGATTTAGTGTGATGTTCCGTCTCTCTGTATCCCCTGGTATATCTGTGTTAATTCCCCTTACTTAAGGTCTGTATATATATCTGCGGTTTTGCGTTTCCTCTACCTGATGATGATTGCTTGTGTTGCGACAGAAACGTCGTATGCTATTACGTAATTTTATTTTTTATTGTTTCTACGCGACTTGACCGAAAAAAAAATCCAAAGAGTAATTCCTGCAGTCAAGAAAGCGCCTGATCAAGTTCGAACGTATAATATTACACCAACATTATGACAGATGTATGTTAATAGCTTTGAAAGGTCAAGGAGTCTCCCACTTGTTCGCCATCGTTGTGAACGCATTGCCTCGAGTCTTCTCCAGGCGGTCTCCAGAGGCAAAACGCTTCTTGTGGTACCGTTGCAAAAAAACGTCAAAGCATTCTTTTTGAAGCACCCTATTGCACTGTCACGACATCGGCCGCGGGAAATTTCCCTGCGCGGTTGAGCGGCCGCCGCCGCCGCGCAATCCATTCCCCTCGCGTTAAAGTTTGCAACAACAAAAACATTCTCCGCAGGCATCTGCGGTGCGGGCGTCCACCGCAGGCACAGCCTCAAGGACCCCACGATGATGCCCTTTGACCCCACCGAGGGCGGTCACCTGGGGTCTCCGCGTAACGCCACGCCTCCGCCAGGGAGCGCGCAGCAGCAGCAGCAGCAGCAGCAGAGATTCACGGCCAATGCGGACTACATTTCCGCGCGGATGGGGACGTCGCCCGGATCTCAGTGCGCCAAGCCTCCGGGTTACTCGGTCGTGGCCCCGGCAAGGCCCAACGGAACTCCTTTTGGGCTGAGACCGACGCAGCAAGAAGCTTCTATGCAGCAGCAGCAGCAGCAGCAACAGTACCAGCAGCAGCAGCAGCACTATGCAACAGGCGGTCCTCTGAGGCTGCCGCCCAGTGCCTTGACTTCCCAGCATCAGCAGCAGCAGCAGCAGCAACAACAGCAGCAACAACAACAGCAGCAACAACAGCAGCAGCAGCAGTCGTACTACGCGACAGCATCGTCGGCAGGAGTGCCTCTCCGATTGCCTCCCGGCGCTTTGGCCCCGTCGCAGCAGCAACAGCAGCAGCAGCAGCAGGGGTACTACCCGTCTGTCCGTATGACTGCAACCTCCGCCCACAATTCCCAGCAGCAACAGCAACAGCAGCAGCAGCAGCAGCCGCCCCCTCCTTACCCGTACTCGCAGGCACCGCCGGCGTTTGGCGCCGGCGGGGGAAGCCGCAACAGCCAGAACATGGAGCTCTACCAGATGGGAGCCGGGGCGGCCGGGAACAGGGGCAGCCAGAACATGGACGTGTACCCGCAGGTCGTTTCCAACCGGAGCAGCCAGAACTTGGACCTGTTCCCGCAGGGGATGTCCAACAGGAACAGCCAGAACCTGGACCTGTTCCCGACGGGCGTGTCCGGCTGGAACGGTCAGAGCGTGGACTTGTTCCAGCAGGTCGTCCCCAACCGGAACAGCCAGAACCTGGACATGTTCCCGCTCGGGGCGTCCAACCGGAACAGCCAGAACCTGGACATGTTCCCGCTCGGGGCGTCCAACCGGAACAGCCAGAACCTGGACGTGTACCAGCAGGTCGTGCCCAACCGGAACAGCCAGAACCCAGACGCGTTCGCGCAGGGGATGTCCAACAGGAACAGCCAGAACCTGGACGTGTTCCAGCAGGTCGCGCCCAACCGGAACAGCCAGAACCCGGACCTGTTCCCGCACGGAGCGTCGAACAGGAGCAGTCAGAATCTCGACATGTACCCGCCGCAGGCGATGTCCAACCGGAACTCCCAGAACCTCGACGTCTTCCCGCAAGCGATATCCAACCGCAGCTCCCAGAACGTGGACGTGTTCCCTCCGGCAATGCCCAACCGGAATTCCCAAAACCTGGACGCGTACCAGCACGGCTCGTCGGGCCGGAACAGTCAGAACCTGGAGGGGTTTTCGCTGGGAGCCGCCGCCCCTGCCCCCGCCGCGGCCCCCCCTCTTCCTCCCAGCTACAGCGTGTGCCTGCGGCAGGCGCCGGGGCAGGCGGAATCGTTTGCGAGCGGCCGTTCCACTCCTCGCCCCGTGAGCTCCGAGCTGCAGCAGCTGCAGCAGCAGCAGCAGCAGCTTCAACAGCAGCAGCAGCTTCAACAGCAGCAGCAGCAGCTTCAGCAGCAGCAGCAGCAGGGCACTGCTGCGACTCTGACAGCCCTCCCGGCCGCGGCGATTCTGAACCCCGTGAAGAGCACGCGCGTGACGAAGCCGGAGCTGCAGACGGCTTTGGCGCCGACGCATCCGCCTTGGGCAAGCCAGGCCTTGCAGCAGCAGCAGCAGCAACAGCAGCAACAGCAGCAGCAGAGCCAGATGGCAGCGCTACCTCAGCACGCGATGTCGATGATGTCGCATCTGCCTCCTCAGTCTGTGCAGCAAATCTGGCAGCAGCAGCAGCAGCCTCTGATTCATCACCCGCAGGTGTGTGAGCGAGTGAGTGGGTGTGTGTGTGAGCGAGTGAGTGGGTGTGTGTGTGAGCGAGTGAGTGGGTGTGTGCGTGAGCGAGTGAGTGGGTGTGTGTGTGAGCGAGTGTGTGTGTGAGCGAGTGAGCGTGTGTGTGTGTGAGCGAGTGAGTGGGCTCTGGACGGGTGCGAGGGGCTGGTAACCCCTCCACCATCAATTAATTACCACGAAACCACGAGTTAAACTGAAATATGTAACTAATAAGCTTGTGCCGGAGGCCCCGGGGGGCCAGGCGTCTATGACGTCTCCTGGCCAAACCCCAATTGGCAGAGCCAGGAGATTGAATATCTACCCTCGGGGCTCCTCCAGAAACAACGAAAAGCCACTACGGGTGGCCACGTGGAATGTTCGAACGCTCACTGCGGAGGAGAGGCTGCCACTCCTCTGTCGGGAGCTGGACCGGTACCGCCTGGATCTCTGTGGCATTCAGGAGGTTCGGTGGACCGGCTCTGGCTCCTGCCACCATGAGGGGTGGACAGTCCTCTACTCGGGGCAGCAGACTGCCAAACAACAGGGTGTGGCTCTTCTTTTGAACAAAAGAATGAAGGGGGCGTAGGAGTGTGGCGGTGAGGTGTGGGAAGCTGTAAGCCCCAGGCTACTTTGGGCTCGCCTTCCCATCAACCGGAGGCGAGGAATGGTGGTCGTGGTTACTTATGCCCCCACTGAAGATGAACATCCGTGGAGGGATGCAGGCAAAGCCGATGAGTCAGATGCATTCCATGACCTCCTGTCACAGGTGCTGGCTAAAGTGGCCCCTCGGGATAGAGTCATGTTGGGTGACTTCAATGCCCGAGTTGGTCATGATACTGGCACCTGGTCTGGAGTGATTGGAAGACATTGACAAGATCAGCTCAACAATAACGATAGGAGGCTGCTAGACTTCTGTGCAGCCCATGCACTTGTATTAATGACCAAAACGCTGTTCTGGCATCAGCGCATCCACGCGTTATGGATGCATGCCGGGTCCAAGCAAGGACATCTGCTGGACTACATAGTGACAAAACAGCGGATGCGAGCCCATGTCCTTGACACCATGACCTACCGTGGAGCAGATCTGCCCTCTGACCATCGACTTGTCATCTGTAAGATGCGCCTGCCATTCTTCCACTCCGGTGGTGGGTGTACACCCAGGACCCCATTCCGACCTAAAGTGGCCTGGTCTCAGTTATCTGATGAAAGTTGCAAGCGAGAATTTCATCATCGCTTGCGGCTGGGATTGGCATCGTCCCCGACTCCTCCTGATGTCGAGGGTAAATGGGCGAGGTTTAGGACTGGGACTCATGCAGCTGCAATGGCTGCTTTGGGTGCACGGTCCAGACCTCCCCAGAGACCCTGGCGGACAGAGGAGGTGTTCAGGATGGTTGAGAAAAAGCGACAGGCCCACTGTCATCGGCTACAGAATCCCACGTCAGAGAATGAGGAGGCTTACCGCAGCCTTCGCTCGGAGGTTCGGAGAGCCGTGAGGCGCTGCAAGGATGGGTGGTGGTCGCGGGTTGCTGAGGAGATGGAGTCTGCCTCAGTGGCCCGTGATCACAAATCTCTATTTAACTCCAAAAAAGTAACCTGCAGCGCCACACCTATTACCATCATTAGAGGAAAAAACGGTGACCCAATCTCCGACCCCCAGGAACAGGTTTGCAGATTTGCTGAGCATTTCTGTGAGGTCCTGGGGGAGGGAAAATCCCTCAGCCAGGAAAACATCGTGGCACAAAGTGAGGATGACCCTGCTGTGGCTGCGGTGCCTCAAATATTGGAAGAAGTCACCCCTTGTGAGTGGCTGGCTGATGTGCCATCTGTTGAGGAAGTACTGAAGGCGATCCGGAGTCTGAGACCAGGAAAGGCAGCGGGCAGAGATGATCTCCCAAGCGAAATGCTGAGGGAGGGTGGCGTTTGTGCACAGACTGCCCTATATAACATCATAACAACGGTCTGGACCACTGGACGGGTTCCGCAGGATTGGAAGGATGCCCTGGTGGTCCCCCTTTTTAAGAAGGGGGACCGCACAGACTGTAACAACTACAGGGGCATCTCACTCCTCAGTGTGCCGGGAAAGGTCCTGGCAAGGATTATTCAGCATCGCCTTGCCAGGCACGCTGAGGAGAGGCTTGCGGAGCCCCAATGCGGTTTCAGGAAAGGGCGGTCCTGCACAGATGCCATATTTTCTGTCCGTCTGCTACAGCAGAGGTGTAGGGAATTCCAACAAGACCTACATCTGTGCTTTATTGACCTGGTCAAGGCCTATGATACCATCAGTAGGCCTGGGCTCTGGGTTATTCTTCGTGCTGTTGGAGTACCTGACCCTCTGCTCACGATCATTAAGGACCTTCATGATGGTGAGCGGGCCCGGGTAAAACTACGTGGCCGGGAGTCAGAGCCATTCCCTGTACACCTTGGGGTGCGACAGGGATGTCCTCTGGCTCCCACATTATTTAACATCTATTTTTACCACGTAGTTCGTGAAGCCTTCAATAGCTGTACCGGGGGAATCTCCACATGGTACAGATATAATGGGAGGCTGATCCATGCCCGGGTGCGGTCAAGGGATGGCTCCCTATTGCTCAACCACATTATGTATGCTGATGATTTGGTAATAGCTGTTCAGTCAGAGGAGGAGTTGGAGACGCTGCTGCTGAGACTGGAGCGTGCCACTAAGAGGTGGGGGCCTTACCATCAGCCCCACCAAAACTAAGCACCTGCCTGGGTATTTTGTACCATCGGACACTCCACCCCCACAACTCCCAATCGGTGATGGGGCAGTTGTGGAGAGAGTGGAGAGTGTCCCATGCCTGGGCAATGTGCTTATGACTGGCTCCAGTTTAACAGCAGAGGTCTCACTCCGAATCAGTCGAGCGGCAATATCTTTTCATCGGTTGCGTAACGCTGTGTGGAAGCTACCTGGTCTGTCGCTCCGCACTAAGCTTCAGGTCTTCTCTTGGCTTGCCTACGATCCTTCCTGGGTTTAACCAGGCTGGATTGTGTGAGGAGCTCACAAATCCTTGAAAGATCTGGGCAAGGTCCCATCGGTGAGCTCCTCCGGCGGGCAAGGCTGCGATGGCTGGGTCATGTAGCCCGCATGCCCAGCCACCGCATGCCGAAACAGCTTTTGTTCGGCCGGATCGAGGGGGCTAAGCGGGCGCGGCACGGGCTAGAGAAGAGATGGAGTGATGTGGTGCAGGAGGACGTGGAGTTCAGTGGACTTGCCGATGACTGGTACCAGTGGTGTCAAGATCGGCCTCTGTGGAGGAGGCTCGTGAAGGATGCTACTGGGCAGTTGGAGGCAGTCGCCCTCCAACAACAACGGAGGGCGGAGGAGCGACGCTCAGAACAACGAGCGGAGCGCCGGGTGGCTAAAGCACAGCAGGTTGGCACAGTAGGGGGCACAGGTGGTGCATCAGCCAGTCATCTCAGTCAGTCGACCCGTGGCACCTGGGTCTGCCCCGTGACCTCCTGCCAGCGGGCGTTCGACACTTCATGTGGCCTCGGTGCACATAGCCTGGCACAAGCGTCGAGGTGACGTCACCACCACTTAGTGGCGAATGGCGGTTGTTGTTGTGTGTGTGAGCGAGTGAGCGTGTGTGAGCGAGTGAGTGGGTGTGTGTGAGCGAGCGAGTGAGTGTGTGTGGGCGAGCGAGTTTGTGTATGTGAGCGAGTGAGTGTGTGTGTGTGAGCGAGTGAGTGTGTGTGTGAGCGAGTGAGTGTGTGTGTGAGCGAGTGAGTGGGTGTGTGTGTGTGAGCGAGTGAGTGGGTGTGTGTGTGTGAGCGAGTGAGTGGGTGTGTGTGTGTGAGCGAGTGAGTGGGTGTGTGTGTGTGAGCGAGTGAGTGGGTGTGTGAGCGAGTGAGTGTGTGTGTGAGCGAGCGAGTGTGTGTGTGAGATAGCGGGTGTGTGTGTGTGTGAGCGAGTGAGTGGGTGTGTGAGATGAGAGGTAGGGGAGTGAGTGGAGGGGAGTGGAGTGAGATGAGAGGTAGGGGAGTGTGTGGAGGTGAGTGGAGTGAGATGAGAGGTAGGAGAGTGCGTGGAGGGGAGTGGAGTGAGATGAGCGGCAGGAGAGTGAGTGGAGTGGAGTGAGATGAGAGGTAGGGGAGTGTGTGGAGGTGAGTGGAGTGAGATGAGAGGTAGGAGAGTGTGTGGAGGGGAGTGGAGTGAGATGAGAGGTAGGAGAGTGAGTGGAGGGGAGTGGAGTGAGATGAGAGGTAGGGGAGTGAGTGGAGGGGAGTGGGGTGAGGTGGTGTAAGGGTCTGTGGGATGATCTTGAGCCATTGGAGGCATGCGCGGACGTGCGAGGTTGATGACTGCTGCCCTACTTGTTCTGCAGCAACAGCAGCAGCAGCAGCACAATGTGCTGAAGCAGGCAGATCAGCTGATGTATCAGCAACAACAACAGCAGCAACAACAACAACAGCAGCAGCAGCAACAACAACAGCAGCAACAGCAACAACAACAGCAGCAGCAGCAACAGCAGCAACAACAGCAGCAGCAACAGCAGCAGCAGCAGATGGCGGTGGCTTCGGAGTACGGCGAGAGGATGGACTACGCCAGGCCACCGCCACCGCCCTACCCAGGCCACCTGCTGCAAGCGCACACGGTGGGTGGGGTGGGGGGGGGGTGGGTGGGGGGGTGGGGGGTGTTGGTGGGGGCGGAGCGTCGCCGCCACTGACCCGTTGTACGTGCGTGTACGTACGTTTGCGTATGTACAGTGGTGTAGTGTAGTGTGTAGCATAGTGTGTATAGTCGTGTATAGTAGTGTAGTGTGTATAGTAGTGTATAGTGTGGGTGTGCAGTAGTGTAGCGTATAGTAGTGTAGCGTATAGCGTAGTGTGTATAGTAGTGTAGTGTGTATAGTAGTGTAGTGGATAGTAGTGTATAGTAGTGTAGCGTATAGCGTAGTGTGTATAGTAGTGTAGTGTGTATAGTAGTGTATAGTGTGGCTGTGTAGTAGTGTAGCGTATAGCGTATAGTAGTGTAGCGTATAGCGTAGTGTGTATAGTAGTGTAGTGTGTATAGTAGTGTAGTGGATAGTAGTGTAGCGTATAATAGTGTAGCATATAGCGTAGTGTGTATAGTAGTGTAGTGTATAGTGTGGGTGTATAGTTGTGTAGTGTGTATAGTAGTGTAGTGTGTATAGAAATGTGTATAGTAGTGTAGTGTGTATAGAAATGTGTATTGTAGTGTAGTGTGTATAAGAGTGTAGTGTGTGTAGTGTATAGTGTAGTGTGTATAGTAGTGTTTCATGTGGGTGTATCGTAGTGTAGTGTGTATTGTAGTCTCGTGTATAGTAGTGTAGTGAAAAGTGGAGTGTATAGTATTTTAGTGTACAGTGTGCCGTATAGTAGTGTAATGTATAGTAGTGTGCAGTGGTGTGTATAGTAGTGTAGTATAGTAGTGTAGTGTGTGTGGCATCTGAATGTGCGTGTTGTGGTGACCGTCTTTGTTCGACGGTTCACCAAGATCTGCCGCCGCTGCACGAATGATGACCGCAGTTTGTGCCTGGCGATGGTCGATGCTCCTTGTCGAGTTCAGCAGCGATGTGGTGCAGTGCGTCTGTGGGTGAGCGTGCCCTGTGTGTGTGTGTAATTGAGTGCGCTGTGTGTGTGTAATTGAGTGCGTGCTGTGTGTGTGTGTAATTGAGTGCGCTGTGTGTGTGTGTAATTGAGTGTGCGCTGTGTGTGTGTGTAATTGAGTTCATGCTGTGTGTGTGTGTAATTGAGTGAGCTGTGTGTGTGTGTAATTGAGTGCGCTGTGTGTGTGTGTAATTGAGTGCGTGCTGTGTGTGTGTGTAATTGAGTGCGTGCTGTGTGTGTGTGTGTAATTGAGTGCACGCTGTGTGTGTGTAATTGAGTGAGCTGTGTGTGTGTGTGTAATTGAGTGCACGCTGTGTGTGTGTGTGTAATTGAGTGCGCTGTGTGTGTGTGTGTGTAATTGAGTGCGCTGTGTGTGTGTGTGTGTGTAATTGAGTGTGCTGTGTGTGTGTGTGTAATTGAGTGCACGCTGTGTGTGTGTGTAATTGAGTGCGCTGTGTGTGTGTGTGTGTAATTGAGTGCGCTGTGTGTGTGTGTAATTGAGTGCCCTGTGTGTGTGTAATTGAGTGCGTGCTGTGTGTGTGTGTGTAATTGAGTGCGCTGTGTGTGTGTGTAATTGAGTGCGTGCTGTGTGTGTGTGTGTAATTGAGTGAGCTGTGTGTGTGTGTAATTGAGTGCACGCTGTGTGTGTGTGTATAATTGAGTGCCCTGTGTGTGTGTGTGTGTAATTGAGTGTGCTGTGTGTGTGTGTAATTGAGTGAGCTGTGTGTGTGTGTAATTGAGTGTGCGCTGTGTGTGTGTGTAATTGAGTGTGCGCTGTGTGTGTGTGTAATTGAGTGCGTGCTGTGTGTGTGTGTAATTGAGTGAGCTGTGTGTGTATGTAATTGAGTGCGCTGTGTGTGTGTGTGTAATTGAGTGCGCTGTGTGTGTGTGTGTAATTGAGTGCGCTGTGTGTGTGTGTGTAATTGAGTGCGCTGTGCGTGTGTGTGTAAATGAGTGCGCTGTGTGTGTGTGTAATTGAGTGTGTGCTGTGTGTGTGTGTGTGTAATTGAGTGTGCGCTGTGTGTGTGTGTAATGGAGTGCGCTGTGTGTGTGTGTAATTGAGTGTGCTGTGTGTGTGTGTAATTGAGTGTGCTGTGTGTGTGTGTAATTGAGTGCGCTGTGTGTGTGTGTAATTGAGTTCATGCTGTGTGTGTGTGTAATTGAGTGAGCTGTGTGTGTGTGTAATTGAGTGCGCTGTGTGTGTGTGTAATTGAGTGTGCTGTGTGTGTGTGTAATTGAGTGCGTTGTGTGTGTGTGTAATTGAGTGCGTTGTGTGTGTGTGTAATTGAGTGTGCTGTGTGTGTGTGTAATTGAGTGCGTTGTGTGTGTGTGTAATTGAGTGTGCCCTGTGTGTGTAATTGAGTGCGCTGTGTGTGTGTGTAATTGAGTGCGCTGTGTGTGTGTGTAATTGAGTGCGCTGTGTGTGTGTGTGTAATTGAGTGCCCTGTGTGTGTGTGTAATTGAGTGCACGCTGTGTGTGTGTGTAATTGAGTGCACGCTGTGTGTGTGTGTAATTGAGTGAGCTGTGTGTGTGTGTAATTGAGTGCGCTGTGTGTGTGTGTAATTGAGTGCACGCTGTGTGTGTGTGTGTGTAATTGAGTGAGCTGTGTGTGTGTGATTGAGTGCACACTGTGTGTGTGTGTGTAATTGAGTGCCCTGTGTGTGTGTAATTGAGTGCACGCTGTGTGTGTGTGTAATTGAGTGTGCTGTGTGTGTGTGTAATTGAGTGCGTTGTGTGTGTGTGTAATTGAGTGAGTTGTGTAATTGAGTGAGTTGTGTGTGTGTGTGTAATTGAGTGCGTGCTGTGTGTGTGTGTAATTGAGTGCGCTGTGTGTGTGTGTGTGTGTGTGTGTAAATGAGTGTGCGCTGTGTGTGTGTGTGTGTAATTGAGTGAGCTGTGTGTGTGTGTAATTGAGTGAGCTGTGTGTGTGTGTAATTGAGTGTGCCCTGTGTGTGTGTGTGTAATTGAGTGTGCTGTGTGTGTGTGTAATTGAGTGTGCCCTGTGTGTGTGTGTAATTGAGTGTGCGCTGTGTGTGTGTGTGTGTAATTGAGTGTGCTGTGTGTGTGTGTGTAATTGAGTGCACGCTGTGTGTGTGTGTGTAATTGAGTGCACGCTGTGTGTGTGTGTGTAATTGAGTGCGCTGTGTGTGTGTGTAATTGAGTGAGCTGTGTGTGTGTGTAATTGAGTGAGCTGTGTGTGTGTGTAATTGAGTGCGCTGTGTGTGTGTGTGTAATTGAGTGCGCTGTGTGTGTGTGTAATTGAGTGCGCTGTGTGTGTGTGTAATTGAGTGCGCACTGTGCGTGTGTGCTCAGGCTGTTAAAGAGACGGTGAAGGAGGTCGCTGCACAGGACCCCGAGAAGAATGGAGGCAGCTTGGTGAGATCGTCACCGTCATTACTGTGGTGACCATACAGTCATCATCCACATTATGGTCATCACTGTCATGATCATCGTCATTGTAATCACTCTCATTATCATCTCATCATGATCATCGCCATTGTGATCACTCTCATGATCATCTCATCATGATCATAATCACTTTCATGATCATCGTCGTCGTCATTATCACTCTCCTCTTCATACACCTGGTCCCCCGTGGCTCCTCTCTCTCCCCTCTCTCTCCCCTCTCTCTCTCCTCTCTCTCTCCCCCCTCTCTCTCCCCTCTCCTCTCTCTCTCCCCTCTCTCTCCCACCTCTCTCTCTCCCCTCTCCTCTCTCTCTCCCCTCTCTCTCCCCCCTCTCTCTCTCCCCTCTCCTCTCTCTCTCCCCTCTCTCTCTCCCCTCTCTCTCCCCTCTCTCTCCCCTCTCTCTCTCCCCTCTCTCTCCCCTCTCTCTCCCCCCTTTCTCTCCCCCCTCTCTCTCTCCCCTCTCCTCTCTCTCTCCCCTCTCTCTCCCCTCTCTCTCTCCCCTCTCCCCCCCTCTCTCCCCTCTCTCTCCCTCCTCTCTCCCCTCTCTCTCCCCTCTCTCTCCCCCCTCTCTCCCCTCTCTCTCTCCCCTCTCTCTCCCCTCTCTCTGTCCCCTCTCTCTCTCCCCTCTCCCCTCTCTCTCTCCCCTCTCTCTCCCCCCCCTCTCTCTCCCCTCTCTCTCCCCTCTCTCCCCTCTCTCTCTCCTCTCTCTCTCCCCTCCCTCTCCCCTCTCTCTCCCCTCTCTCTCTCCCCCCCCTCTTTCTCCCCTCTCCTCTCTCTCTCCCCTCTCTCTCTCCCCTCTCTCTCCCCCCTCTCTCTCTCCCCTCTCTCTCTCCCCTCTCTCTCTCCCCTCTCTCTCTCCCCTCTCTCTCTCCCCTCTCTCTCCCCCCTCTCTCTCCCCCCTCTTCTCTCTCCCCTCTCCTCTCTCTCTCCCCTCTCTCTCTCCCCTCTCTCTCCCCTCTCTCTGTCCCCTCTCTCTCTCTCCCCTCTCCCCTCTCTCTCTCCCCTCTCTCTCTCCCCCCCTCTCTCTCCCCTCTCTCTCCCCTCTCTCCCCTCTCTCTCTCTCCTCTCTCTCTCCCCTCCCTCTCCCCTCTCTCTCCCCTCTCTCTCCCCTCTCCCCTCTCTCTCTCCCCTCTCTCTCTCTCCCCTCTCTCTCTCCCCTCTCTATCTCCCCTCTCTCTCTCCCCTCTCTCTCTCCCCTCTCTCTCCCCTCTCTCTCCCCCCTCTCTCCCCTCTCTCTCTCTCTCCCCTTCTCCCCCCTTCTACCCCTCTCTCTCTCTCCCCTCTCTCTCTCCCCTCTCTCTCCCCTCTCTCCCCTTTCTCTCCCCTCTCTCTCCCCTTCTACCCCTCTCTCTCTCTCTCTCCTCTCTCTCCCCTCTCTCTCTCCCCTTCTCCCCTCTCTCTCCCCTTCTACCCCTCTCTCTCTCTCCCCTCTCTCTCCTCTCTGCCCCCCCACCCTCTCTCTCTCTTGGCCCCCCCGTGTGTCTGTGCATCCCATTGCCCTCCTCTCTCCTATTCATCTCCCCGCCCTCCTCCTCCCCCCCCCAGGTGTCGGGTGACAACAAGCAGATCCGCACCTCTCCCGTTCCCGAGCGGCGCGGGGCGCGGAGGAGGAAGGCTGACGACGAGGACGACGAGGACGACGAGGAGGAGGTGGAGGTGGAAGATGAGGAGGAGGAGGTGGAGGTGGAGCGCCGGGGGGCGGAGGGCGCGGGAGCGGAGGTGGCGTTGGGAGGGAGCCGCGGTGGTGGTGGCGGCGGAGGCGGTGGAGGCGGTGGAGGCGGTGGAGGCGGTGGAGGCGGTGGAGGCGGTGGAGGCGGTGGTGGCCGCGTGCGGGCGTTTGCTCCGCGCGCGTTCCGCTTCTACATGGAGCAGCACGTGGAGAACGTCCTGAAGCAGCACCAGCAGCGCGTGCTGAGACGCATGCAGCTCGAGAGGGAGATGGCCAAGGTAACCGGGGCGGGGGCGGGGGGGGCAGGAGGGGTCGTGGGAGGGTGGAGGAGTGGGGGGGGGGGGGTGGATGTGGGGCATCGCGCTGGGGGTGGGAACGGAGGGACACGCGGGTCGGCTCACTCACTCGTTGATTCACTCACTCATTCACATGCTCACTCATTCAATCACACACTCATTCACTCACTCATTCACATGCTCACTCATTCATTCACACACTCATTCACTCACTCATTCACATGCTCACTCATTCATTCACACACTCATTCACGTGCTCACTCATTCATTCACACACTCATTCACGTGCTCACTCATTCACGCACGCACTCACGCACTCATTCACGTGCTCACTCATTCACACACGCACACACTCACACGCTCACTCATTAACACACACACTCACATACTCACTCATTCACACGCACGCACTCACACGCTCACTCATTCACGCACTCACCCACTCACTCACGTACTCACTCATTCACTCACACGCTGACTCACCCACTCACGTGCTCACTCATTCACGCACGCACTCACACACTCACACACGCACTCACACACTCATTTACGTGCTCACTCATTCACACACGTACTCACCACACGCTCACTCACGTGCTCACTCACTCACCCACGCAAACACACGCTCACTCACTCACTCACGTGCTCACTCACTCACTCACGTGCTCACTCACTCACACACGCACTCACACGCTCATTCATTCACACACGTACTGACACGTTCACTCACGTGCTCACTCACTCACCCACGTACACACATGCTCACTCACTCATTCACGTGCTCACTCACACACGTACTCACACACTCACTCATGTGCTCATTCAGTGCTCACTCATTCACACACGTACTCACCACACGTTCACTCACGTGCTCACTCACTCACCACACGCACACTCACCTGCTCGCTCACTCACTCACGTACTCACTCATTCACATACGCACTCTCACACGCTCAGTCATTCATTCACACACCTACTGACACGTTCACTCACGTGCTCACTCACTCACCCACGCATGCACATGCTCACTCATTCACGTGCTCACTCACCACACGCACACACACGTACTCACTCACTCACCACACGCACACTCACTCATGTGCTCACTCACACACACACGTACTCACTCACTCACGTGCTCACTCACTCACTCACACACGTACTCACTCACCACACGCACACTCACCTGCTCGCTCACTCACTCACGTACTCACTCATTCACATACGCACTCTCACACGCTCAGTCATTCATTCACACACCTACTGACACGTTCACTCACGTGCTCACTCACTCACCCACGCATGCACATGCTCACTCACTCATTCACGTGCTCACTCACCACACGCACACACACGTACTCACTCACCACACGCTCACTCACTCATGTGCTCACTTACACACACACGTACTTACTCACTCACACACGTACTCACTCACGTGCTCACTCATTCACTCACATACTCACCACACGCTCACTCACATGCTCACTCACCACACGCACACTCACCTGCTCATTCACGTGCTCACTCACCACACACACACACACACGTGCTCACTCACTCACCACACGCTCACTCACTCACGTACTCACTCACCACACACACACACGTGCTCACTCACTCACCACATGCTCACTCACTCACGTACTCACTCACCACACACACACACACGTACTCACTCACTCACCACACGCTCACTCACTCACGTACTCACTCACCACACACACACACACGTACTCACTCACTCACCACACGCTCACTCACCACGTGCTCACTCACTCACTCACACACGTACTCACTCACGTACTCACTCACTCACCACGCACTCACTCATGTGCTCACTCACTCACACAAGTACTCACTCACACACGTGCTCACTCACTCACGTGCTCACTCACTCACTCACACACGTACTCACTCACACACGTGCTCACTCACTCACCACGCGCTCACTCACGTGCTCACTCACTCACGTGCTCACTCACTCACTCACACACGTACTCACTCACTCACCACGCGCTCACTCACTCACGTGCTCACTCACCACACGCTCACTCACTCACTCATGTGCTCACTCACACACACACGTACTCACTCACCACACGTTCACTCACTCGTACTCACTCACACACACACGTGCTCACTCGCTCACACACACACGTACGCACTCACTCACGTACTCACTCACGTGCTCACTCACTCACATGCTCACTCACTCAAACACACACGTACTCACTCACGTGCTCACTCACTCACACACACACGTACTCACTCACACACACACGTACTCACTCACGTGCTCACTCACTCACACACACACGTACTCACTCACTCACGTGCTCACTCGCTCACACACACACGTACTCACTCACGTACTCACTCACCACACGTTCACTCACTCGTGCTCACTCACACACACACGTGCTCACTCGCTCACACACACACGTACTCACTCACTCACGTACTCACTCACTCACGTGCTCACTCACTCACATGCTCACTCACTCAAACACACACGTACTCACTCACTCACGTGCTCACTCACTCACACACACACACACGTACTCACTCACTCACTCACACACGTACTCACTCACTCACACACGTACTCACTCACTCACACACGTACTCACTCACACACACACGTACTCACTCACGTGCTCACTCACTCACACACACACACGTACTCACTCACTCACACACACGTACTCACTCACTCACACACACGTACTCACTCACTCACACACACACGTACTCACTCACTCACGTGCTCACTCACTCACACACACACGTACTCACTCACTCACACACACACGTACTCACTCACTCACACACACACGTACTCACTCACTCACACACTCACACACGTACTCACTCACTCACACACACACGTACTCACTCACACACACACGTACTCACTCACTCACACACACACACACGTACTCACTCACTCACACACACACGTACTCACACACACACACACGTACTCACTCACTCACACACTCACACACGTACTCACTCACTCACTCACACACAAACGTACTCACTCACACACACACACGTGCTCACTCACACACACACGTACTCACTCACTCACACACACACGTACTCACTCAATCACTCACACACACACGTACTCACTCACTCACACACACGTACTCACTCACTCACACACACATGTACTCACTCACTCACACACACACGTACTCACTCACTCACACACACGTACTCACTCACTCACACACACGTACGCACTCACTCACTCACACACACACGTACTCACTCACACACACATGTACTCACTCACTCACACACACACGTGCTCACTCACTCACACACATGTACTCACTCACTCACACACGTACTCACTCACACACACACGTACTCACTCACACACACACGTACTCACTCACACACACACGTACTCACTCACACACACACGTACTCACTCACTCACACACACACACGTACTCACTCACTCACACACACACGTACTCACTCACTCACACACACACGTACTCACTCACTCACACACGTGCTCACTCACACACACACGTGCTCACTCACACACACACACACGTACTCACTCACTCACACACACACGTACTCACTCACTCACACACGTACACACACACGTACTCACACACTCACGTACTCACTCACCCGCTCGCTCACTCAAGCCGCCCGCCCCGCCCCGCCCCGCCCCGCCCCGCCCCGCCCCGCCCCGCCCCGCCCCGCCCCGCCCCGCCCCGCCCCGCCCCGCCCCGCCCCGCCCCGCCCCGCCCCGCCCCCGCCCCTCATTACAGATCCAGCTGTCTGAGGAGGCGCGCGTGCAGATGCGCCTGATGCTGCGCCAGAAGGAGTCCAACTACCTGCGGCTCCGTCGCGCCAAGATGGACACCTCGCAGTTCACGCGCATCACAACGCTGGGCGTGGGGGCCTTCGGCGAGGTGTCGCTGGCTCGCAAGGTGGACACCGGCGCCCTCTACGCCGTCAAGACGCTTCGCAAGCACGACGTGCTGCTGCGCAACCAGGCGGCGCTCGTCAAGGCCGAGCGCGACATCCTGGCCGAGGCCGACAACGAGTGGGTGGTGCGCCTCTATTACTCGTTCCAGGTGAGCGGGCGAGAGGGGTGAGTGGTGAGAGACGGTTGGGTGGGTGTGGGTGGGTGTGTGTGGGTTGGGTGGGTGGGTGTGTGGGTGGGTGGGTGTGTGGGTGGGTGAGTGGGTGCGTGGGTGGGTGGGTGTGTGGGTGGGTGGGTGAGTGTGTGGGTGGGTGAGTGGGTGCGTGGGTGGGTAGGTGAGTGGGTGCCTTCGTGGGTAAGTGAGTGCGTGTGTGGGTGAGTGGGTGTGTGTGTGGGTGGGTGAGTGGGTGGGTGTCTGGAGAACCCAAGCAGAGATTTGAGTGCCGGCCAAAGCAACACCGCCCTGATGGCTAGGAGATGTTGACTACCTCGCCTGGTGTACAGGAGGTCGTGGGTTCGATCCTAGACCCTGGCGCTGTATATTTGGGGTTTGCAGTGTCTCTCTCTCTCTCCCCGTCACGTACAGAATGGACGTCACGCGCGTAGAGATTTCGGCCGCTGGAAATGTCCACGTGATGACGAATAGGCCCACCTCGTTGGGCTAAATAATACTTCTCCGTGGGCCTCACCCGGTCAAACAAAAAAAAATAGTTGAGAGTTTAACACGGCGCAGAATTGGACCGGCCGGCGATGACACGCGCCACCCACCTCTTCCCCCCACCTCCACCCACCTCCACCCACCTCTCCACCCCCCCCCCCCCCCACACGCACCAGGACAAGGAGGCCCTCTACCTGGTCATGGACTACATCCCCGGCGGCGACATGATGAGTCTCCTCGTGCGCCTGGGCGTCTTCCCCGAGCCGCTGGCGCGCTTCTACGTGGCCGAGCTGGTGCTGGCCGTGGAGAGCGTCCACCGCATGGGGTTCATCCACCGCGACGTGAAGCCGGACAACGTCCTCATCGACCGCGACGGGCACATCAAGCTCACCGATTTCGGCCTGTGCACCGGCTTCCGCTGGACCCACGACTCCAAGTACTACCAGCAGCACAACGGTGAGGCGGGGTGGCTAGCGAGGGTGGCTAGCGAGGGTGACTAGCAAGGGTGACTGACTGGGTGACTAGCAAGGGTGACTAGCAGGGTGACTGACTATCTGGGTGACTAGTTGGGTGACTAGCTGGGTGACTGACTATCTGGGTGACTAGCTGGGTGACTAGCAGGGTGACTAGTTGGGTGACTAGCAGGGTGACTGACTAATTGGGTGACTAGTTGGGTGACTAGCTGGGTGACTAGTTGGGTGACTAGCTGGGTGACTAGTTGGGTGACTAGCTGGGTGAGTAGGTGGGTGACTAGCTGGGTGACTAGCTGGGTGAGTAGCTGGGTGAGTAGCTGGGTGACTAGTTGGGTGGCTGGGTGGGTGACCAGCTGGGTGACTATCTGGGTGACTAGCTGGGTGACTGACTATCTGGGTGACTAGTTGGGTGACTAGCTGGGTGACTAGTTGGGTGACTAGCAGGATGACTATCTGGGTGACTAGCTGGGTGACTAGTTGGGTGACTAGCAGGGTGACTAGTTGGGTGACTAGCAGGGTGACTATCTGGGTGACTATCTGGGTGACTATCTGGGTGACTATCTGGGTGACTCTCTGGGTGACTAGCTGGGTGACTAGCAGGGTGACTATCTGGGTGACTATCTGGGTGACTATCTGGGTTACTATCTGGGTGACTAGCAGGGTGACTAGCAGGGTGACTATCTGGGTGACTATCTGGGTGACTATCTGGGTGACTATCTGGGTGACTATCTGGGTGACTAGCTGGGTGACTAGCTGGGTGACTATCTGGGTGACTATCTGGGTGACTATCTGGGTGACTATCTGGGTGACTATCTGGGTGACTAGCTGGATGAGTAGGTGGGTGACTATCTGGGTGACCATCTGGGTGACTATCTGGGTGACTATCTGGGTGACTAGCTGGATGAGTAGGTGGGTGACTATCTGGGTGACTAGCTGAGTGACTAGCTGGGTGACTATCTGGGTGACCATCTGGGTGACTATCTGGGTGACTATCTGGGTGACTATCTGGGTGACTAGCTGGATGAGTAGGTGGGTGACTATCTGGGTGACTAGCTGAGTGACTAGCTGGGTGACTATCTGGGTGACCATCTGGGTGACTATCTGGGTGACTATCTGGGTGACATTTTGTTGTGGGTTGTTTGGTGCAGTCTCTGGTGACGCTCGCTCCATCACCGGGGCTCCCAGCCACTCCACCGCTCCTCCTCAACCCTCTCCTCCTCCCCACCTCCTCACCCCCCCCCCACCTCCTCACCCCCCACCTCCTCACCCCCAACCCTCTCCCCCCACCTCCTCCTCCCCACCTCCTCCCCCCCCCCCCCTCCACCTCCTCACCCCCCACCTCCTCACCCCCAACCCTCTCCCCCCCCCCTGCTCTGCAGGTGAGCACCTTCGGCAGGACAGCATGGAGCTGTGGGGGGCCGGGTGCGGCGACGCGGGCGGCGCCGCGGGGGGCCTCGCGGCGCCCCCCACCGATGCCGCCGGCGGCCCCCTCCCGGCGAGCCCCCCGGCGTGCCGCTGTGCCGAGCGCCTCAAGCCGCTGGAGCGGCGGGCGGCTCGCCGGCGCTGCCTGGCACACTCCCTGGTGGGCACCCCCAACTACATCGCTCCTGAGGTGCTGCTGCGCACTGGTGAGGCGGGGGGCGGGGGGGGGGGGGGGGTGGGGGGGGGGGGGGGGGAGTGGTGGTGGGGGTGGTGGGGGGTGGTGGGGGTGGTGCTCAGCAACACTGGACGTGGCGTTTCCCTTCTGTGAGAGAGGAGTTGGTGAACGCCCACCCCCGTGTCTCCCCCCCGTGTCTCCCCCCGTGTCTCCCCCCGTGTCTCCCCCCGTGTCTCTCCCCCGTGTCTCCCCCCGTGTCTCCCCCCCCCCCGTGTCTCCCCCCCGTGTCTCCCCCCCCGTGTCTCCCCCCGTGTCTCTCCCCCCGTGTCTCCCCCCCCCCGTGTCTCCCCCCCCGTGTCTCCCCCCCCCCCGTGTCTCCCCCCGTGTCTCCCCCCCCGTGTCTCCCCCCCGTGTCTCCCCCCCCCCCGTGTCTCCCCCCGTGTCTCCCCCCGTGTCTCCCCCCCCGTGTCTCCCCCCCGTGTCTCCCCCCGTGTCTCCCCCCGTGTCTCCCCCCCCGTGTCTCCCCCCCGTGTCTCCCCCCCGTGTCTCCCCCCCGTGTCTCCCCCCCGTGTCTCCCCCCCGTGTCTCCCCCCCGTGTCTCCCCCCCGTGTCTCCCCCCCGTGTCTCCCCCCCCCCCGTGTCTCCCCCCCGTGTCTCCCCCCCGTGTCTCCCCCCCGTGTCTCCCCCCCGTGTCTCCCCCCCCCATGTCTCCCCCCGTGTCTCCCCCCGTGTCTCCCCCCGTGTCTCCCCCCCGTGTCTCCCCCCCCGTGTCTCCCCCCGTGTCTCCCCCCCCCATGTCTCCCCCCGTGTCTCCCCCCGTGTCTCCCCCCGTGTCTCCCCCCGTGTCTCCCCCCCCGTGTCTCCCCCCCGTGTCTCCCCCCCGTGTCTCCCCCCCGTGTCTCCCCCCCGTGTCTCCCCCCCGTGTCTCCCCCCCGTGTCTCCCCCCCCCGTGTCTCCCCCCCGTGTCTCCCCCCCGTGTCTCCCCCCCCCGTGTCTCCCCCCCGTGTCTCCCCCCCGTGTCTCTCCCCCGTGTCTCCCCCCCCGTGTCTCCCCCTCCTCCCCCCCCCCTTGTGTGACCGTGCAGGCTACACTCAGCTATGTGACTGGTGGAGTGTGGGTGTCATCCTCTACGAGATGCTGGTGGGGAAGCCTCCGTTCCTGGCGCCGACGCCCGCGGAGACGCAGAGGAAGGTGAGAGACGTGGATCCCTCGCAGCCCTGCCCCCTCTACCCCGGTGTGGTGCCGACGAGATGGTAACCACCTCGCCTGGTATACAGGAATTACTCGTGGAGGAAATCAAATCAAATCGAATAATAATAGAATACTGTTTGTCTTGGTGTGCGTCTCGCTCGGTGCGTCTCTGTTGTTTCCCTGTCTGTGTTTTCTCATTCATTCTTTCAGTTTTCAGTTTCATTTATTTGGGTGGGTGGGAGAGTGAATAGGCGAGTTGGTAGGTGGGTGGGAGAGTGAATAGGAGAGTTGGTGGGTGGGTGAGTGAATAGGAGAGTTGGTGGGTGGGTGAGTTAATAGGCGAGTTGGTAGGTGGGTGGGAGAGTGAATAGGAGAGTTGGTGGGTGAGTTAATAGGCGAGTTTGTGGGTTGGTGGGTGAGTGAATAGGAGAGTTGGTGGGTGGGTGAGTTAATAGGCGAGTTGGTGGGTTGGTGGGTGAGTTAATAGGCGAGTTGGTGGGTGGGTGAGTTAATAGGCGAGTTGGTGGGTTGGTGGGTGAGTTAATAGGCGAGTTGGTGGGTTGGTGGGTGAGTTAATAGGCGAGTTGGTGGGTTGGTGGGTGAGTGGAATAGGAGAGTTGGTTTCAGTTACATTTATAATGGTATAGCCCTGTGAGCCATTCGGCTCTTGAATCGGGTGCAACCGCAACAAACAAACAAAAAACCAAAAACACGAACAAGAAAAACGTCTTAAAGTGACTACTGTGTGTTGTTGACTGTGCAATAGCTGATGATGGCCGCTTGTGTTGCAACCTGAAACGTCGTGTCATATTATTATTTTATTTTATTTTCTTCGCCACTTTACCAATAGAACCAAATAGCAATCCCTGCAGTCACACCGAAGCTTCGAAACTAGTTTGGTATGCAGGAGGTTTTATTGGGTAAAGTCACGTAGGTTGAAAAAAATAAAATGACAAAAAATCCACGACGTTTCGGCCACAACACAAGCGGCCTTGTGTTGTGGCCGAAACGTCGTGGATTTTTTTGTTATTTTATTTTTGTTACCCACGCGACTTTACCCAATAGAACCGAAGAGTATTGGATCCTAGCAGTCACGAAAGCTTTAAATCTTGAAATGCAGGAGGTTGTTGGTTCGATCTCAACCCTGACGCCTGCACACTTATTTGGCTGCTAGAAATGTCGACGTCGTGAGCCACTTAGTTGTGATAGCCTGACTCGATTCTGAAAAAAAGAGCCACTTCCATAGCTCAGTGGGGGCTTGCCTGGTAAAATAAAATCAAGAAGTCTTGCTGTTCTTTTGCTGCCTTGCCCAACCTTGTAAATTGGTGTATTTATACAATTTGAACCTCTACATATAAACAAAAACGTGTGATTTTCTTCCCTTTCCAATGTTTTGCACTCCTATCGTGTTTGTTGTTGGTGTAACGTTCTGACCCCCATGCCCCTACTGGACATCTGACAAAACAAGCTTCACAGCTCAGTGGGGCTTTTCCTGTAGTCTTAAATACTGATTCTCATTCTGATCACACACTCCTAACCCCGTGTCTCCCCACCCACCCCATCCTCCCTGTGTCTCCGTGTCTCTCTCCCTCCCCACCGTGTCTCTCCCCCCCCACCGTGTCTCTCTCCCCCCACCGTGTCTCTCTCCCCCCACCGTGTCTCTCCCCCCCCACCGCGTCTCTCTCCCCCCACTGTGTCTCTCTCCCCCCACCGCGTCTCTCTCTCCCCCCACCGCGTCTCTCTCCCCCCACCGTGTCTCTCTCCCCCCACCGCGTCTCTCTCCCCCCACCGTGTCTCTCTCCCCCCACCGCGTCTCTCTCCCCCCACCGCGTCTCTCTCCCCCCACCGTGTCTCTCTCCCCCCACCGCGTCTCTCTCCCCCCACCGCGTCTCTCTCCCCCCACCGTGTCTCTCTCCCCCCACCGCGTCTCTCTCCCCCCACCGCGTCTCTCTCCCCCCACCGCGTCTCTCTCCCCCCCACCGTGTCTCCCCCCACCGCGTCTCTCTCCCCCCACCGCGTCTCTCCCCCCCCACCGTGTCTCCCCCCACCGCGTCTCTCTCCCCCCACCGTGTCTCTCGCCCCCCACCCTGTCTCTCTCCCCCCACCGCGTCTCTCTCCCCCCCACCGTGTCTCCCCCCACCGTGTCTCTCTCCCCCCACCGCGTCTCTCCCCCCCCCCCACCGCGTCTCTCTCCCCCCCCACCGCGTCTCTCTCTCCCCCCCCCCCCACTGCGTCTCTCCCCCCCCCCACCGTGTCTCCCCCCACCGTGTCTCTCTCCCCCCACCGCGTCTCTCTCCCCCCACCGCGTCTCTCTCCCCCCCACCGCGTCTCTCTCCCCCCCCACCGCGTCTCCCCCCCCCCCCACCACGTCTCTCCCCCGCCCCCCCCACGGCGTCTCCCAAGGTGGTGAACTGGCGGGAGACGTTGGTGTTCCCGCCCGAGCGGCCGCTCTCCCCGGACGCCCGTGACCTCGTGCTGCGCCTCTGCCGCGAGGCCTCGGAGCGCCTCGGCTCGGCGGGGGGGGCGGCCGCGGTGAAGCGCCACCCCTTCTTCTCGCCGCCGCTCGACTTCTCGTGCGACGTCCGCTCGCTGCCCGCCCCCTACGTGCCCACCATCGCCCACGACACCGACACCTCCAACTTCGACCCGCCGCCGCCGCCGCAGCAGCCGCAGCCGCAGCAGCAGCAGCCCTCATCCTCAGCCGGCACCGGCGGAGGAGGAGGAGGATGGGGAGGAGGAGGAGGAGGAGGTTGGGGAGGGGGAGGAGGCGTCGAAGGGGGTGGCGGAGGAGGAGGAGGAGGAGGTGGAGGAGAGGGAGACGCAGGAGGTGACGACGATGAGGAGGGGAGCGGTGGAGGAGGAGGAGGAGGAGGAGGGATGGACGTGGCGTGGGGGGCGAGGAGGGGCGACACGGGAGCCAATGGTAACGCGGCGTTAGGGCCCAGGGCTGTGTTAGAGGTGGGGGTAGTGGCAGGGCTGTGTTAGAGGTGGGGGTAGGGGCAGGGCTGTACTAGAGGTGGGGGTAGTGGCAGGGCTGTGTTAGAGGTGGGGGTAGTGGCAGGGCTGTGTTAGAGGTGGCGTTAGGGCCCGGGGCTGTGTTAGAGGTGGGGGTAGAGACAGGGCTGTGTTAGAGATGGGGGTAGAGGCAGGGCTGTGTTAGAGATGGGGGTAGTGGCAGGACTGTGTTAGAGGTGGGGGTAGTGGCAGGGCTGTGTTAGAGGTGAGGGTAGAGGCAGGGCTGTGTTAGAGGTGGGGGTAGAGGCAGGGCTGTGTTAGAGGTGGGGGTAGTGGCAGGGCTGTGTTAGAGGTGGGGGTAGTGGCAGGGCTATGTTAGAGGTGGGGGTAGTGGCAGGGCTGTGTTAGAGGTGGGGGTAGAGGCAGGGCTGTGTTAGAGGTGGGGGTAGAGGCAGGGCTGTGTTAGAGATGGGGGTAGTGGCAGGGCTGTGTTAGAGGTGGGGGTAGTGGCAGGGCTGTGTTAGAGGTGGGGGTAGAGGCAGGGCTGTGTTAGAGGTGGGGGTTGAGGTAGGGCTGTGTTAGAGGTGGGGGTAGTGGCAGGGCTGTGTTAGAGGTGGGGTAGTGGCAGGGCTGTGTTAGAGGTGGGGGTAGAGGCAGGGCTGTGTTAGAGGTGGGGGTAGTGGCAGGGCTGTGTTAGTGATGGGGGTAGAGGCAGGGCTGTGTTAGAGGTGGGGGTAGAGGCAGGGCTGTGTTAGAGGTGGGGTAGTGGCAGGGCTGTGTTAGAGGTGGGGGTAGAGGTAGGGCTGTGTTAGAGGTGGGGGTAGAGACAGGGCTGTGTTAGAGATGGGGGTAGAGGCAGGGCTGTGTTAGAGGTGGGGGTAGTGGCAGGGCTGTGTTAGAGGTGGGGGTAGTGGCAGGGCTGTGTTAGAGATGGGGTAGAGGCAGGGCTGTGTTAGAGGTGGGGGTAGTGGCAGGGCTGTGTTAGAGGTGGGGGTAGTGGCAGGGCTGTGTTAGAGGTGAGGGTAGTGGCAGGGCTGTGTTAGAGATGGGGGTAGTGGCAGGGCTGTGTTAGAGGTGGGGGTAGGGGCAGGGCTGTGTTAGAGGTGGGGGTAGAGGCAGGGCTGTGTTAGAGGTGGGGGTAGAGGCAGGGCTGTGTTAGAGATGGGGGTAGTGGCAGGGCTGTGTTAGAGGTGGGGGTAGAGGCAGGGCTGTGTTAGAGGTTGGGGTAGAGGCAGGGCTGTGTTAGAGATGGGGGTAGAGGCAGGGCTGTGTTATAGATGGGGGTAGTGGCAGGGCTGTGTTAGAGGTGGGGGTAGAGGCAGGGCTGTGTTAGAGATGGGGGTAGTGGCAGGGCTGTGTTATAGATGGGGGTAGTGGCAGGGCTGTGTTAGAGATGGGGGTAGAGGCAGGGCTGTGTTAGAGGTGGGGGTAGTGGCAGGGCTGTGTTAGAGATGGGGGTAGGGGCAGGGCTGTGTTAGAGGTGGGGGTAGAGGCAGGGCTGTGTTAAAGGTGGGGGTAGAGGCAGGGCTGTGTTAGAGATGGGGGTAGGGGCAGGGCTGTGTTAGAGGTGGGGGTAGGGGCAGGGCTGTGTTAGAGATGGGGGTAGAGGCAGGGCTGTGTTAGAGGTGGGGGTAGAGGCAGGGCTGTGTTAGAGGTGGGGGTAGTGGCAGGGCTGTGTTAGAGGTGGGGGTAGAGGCAGGGCTGTGTTAAAGGTGGGGGTAGAGGCAGGGCTGTGTTAGAGATGGGGGTAGAGGCAGGGCTGTGTTAGAGGTGGGGGTAGGGGGCAGGGCTGTGTTAGAGGTGGGGGTAGTGGCAGGGCTGTGTTAGAGGTGGGGGTAGGGGCAGGGCTGTGTTAGAGGTGGGGGTAGAAGCAGGGCTGTGTTAGAGGTGGGGGTAGTGGCAGGGCTGTGTTAGAGGTGGGGGTAGTGGCAGGGCTGTGTTAGAGGTGGGGGTAGTGGCAGGGCTGTGTTAGAGGTGGGGGTAGTGGCAGGGCTGTGTTAGAGGTGGGGGTAGGGGCAGGGCTGTGTTAGAGGTGGGGGTAGTGGCAGGGCTGTGTTAGAGGTGGGGGTAGTGGCAGGGCTGTGTTAGAGGTGGGGGTAGTGGCAGGGCTGTGTTAGAGGTGGGGGTAGAGGCAGGGCTGTGTTAGAGGTGGGGGTAGAGGCAGGGCTGTGTTAGAGATGGGGGTAGAGGCAGGGCTGTGTTAGAGGTGGGGGTAGGGGCAGGGCTGTGTTAGAGGTGGGGGTAGAGGCAGGGCTGTGTTAGAGATGGGGGTAGGGGCAGGGCTGTGTTAGAGGTGGGGGTAGGGGCAGGGCTGTGTTAGAGGTGGGGGTAGAGGCAGGGCTGTGTTAGAGGTGGGGGTAGTGGCAGGGCTGTGTTAGAGGTGGGGGTAGGGGCAGGGCTGTGTTAGAGATGGGGGTAGGGGCAGGGCTGTGTTAGAGATGGGGGTAGGGGCAGGGCTGTGTTAGAGGTGGGGGTAGAGGCAGGGCTGTGTTAGAGGTGGGGGTAGGGGCAGGGCTGTGTTAGAGGTGGGGGTAGAGGCAGGGCTGTGTTAGAGGTGGGGGTAGAGGTAGGGCTGTGTTAGAGGTGGGGGTAGTGGCAGGGCTGTGTTAGAGGTGGGGGTAGTGGCAGGGCTGTGTTAGAGGTGGGGGTAGTGGCAGGGCTGTGTTAGAGGTGGGGGTAGAGGCAGGGCTGTGTTAGAGGTGGGGGTAGGGGCAGGGCTGTGTTAGAGATGGGGGTAGGGGCAGGGCTGTGTTAGAGATGGGGGTAGGGGCAGGGCTGTGTTAGAGGTGGGGGTAGAGGCAGGGCTGTGTTAGAGGTGGGGGTAGGGGCAGGGCTGTGTTAGAGGTGGGGGTAGAGGCAGGGCTGTGTTAGAGGTGGGGGTAGAGGTAGGGCTGTGTTAGAGGTGGGGGTAGTGGCAGGGCTGTGTTAGAGGTGGGGGTAGTGGCAGGGCTGTGTTAGAGGTGGGGGTAGTGGCAGGGCTGTGTTAGAGGTGGGGGTAGAGACAGGGCTGTGTTAGAGGTGGGGGTAGAGGCAGGGCTGTGTTAGAGGTGGGGGTAGGGGCAGGGCTGTGTTAGAGGTGGGGGTAGAGGAAGGGCTGTGTTAGAGGTGGGGGTAGTGGCAGGGCTGTGTTAGAGGTGGGTAGAGGCAGGGCTGTGTTAGAGGTGGGGGTAGGGGCAGGGCTGTGTTAGAGGTGGGGGTAGTGGCAGGGCTGTGTTAGAGATGGGAGTAGGGGCAGGGCTGTGTTAGAGGTGGGGGTAGAGGCAGGGCTGTGTTAGAGGTGGGGGTAGGGGCAGGGCTGTGTTAGAGGTGGGGGTAGAGGCAGGGCTGTGTTAGAGGTGGGGGTAGAGGTAGGGCTGTGTTAGAGGTGGGGGTAGTGGCAGGGCTGTGTTAGAGGTGGGGGTAGTGGCAGGGCTGTGTTAGAGGTGGGGGTAGTGGCAGGGCTGTGTTAGAGGTGGGGGTAGAGGCAGGGCTGTGTTAGAGGTGGGGGTAGGGGCAGGGCTGTGTTAGAGTGGGGGGTCGGGGCAGGGCTGTGTTAGAGATGGGGGTAGGGGCAGGGCTGTGTTAGAGGTGGGGGTAGAGGCAGGGCTGTGTTAGAGGTGGGGGTAGGGGCAGGGCTGTGTTAGAGGTGGGGGTAGAGGCAGGGCTGTGTTAGAGGTGGGGGTAGAGGTAGGGCTGTGTTAGAGGTGGGGGTAGTGGCAGGGCTGTGTTAGAGGTGGGGGTAGTGGCAGGGCTGTGTTAGAGGTGGGGGTAGTGGCAGGGCTGTGTTAGAGGTGGGGGTAGAGACAGGGCTGTGTTAGAGGTGGGGGTAGAGGCAGGGCTGTGTTAGAGGTGGGGGTAGGGGCAGGGCTGTGTTAGAGGTGGGGGTAGAGGCAGGGCTGTGTTAGAGGTGGGGGTAGTGGCAGGGCTGTGTTAGAGGTGGGTAGAGGCAGGGCTGTGTTAGAGGTGGGGGTAGGGGCAGGGCTGTGTTAGAGGTGGGGGTAGAGGCAGGGCTGTGTTAGAGGTGGGGGTAGTGGCAGGGCCTACCCAAGGCTCTGCTCATCATCAGCGTCCCCGTGGTGGACATCACGAACCTTGCCCCCTCTCCGCCCCCCACTCCGCCCCCCACTCCCCCCCCCCCCCCAGGTGCTCAGTGCGACAGGGCCCAGAGACTCCCAGGGGCCTTCCCCTCCGGCCACTGCGGGGGCCCCGGCGGAGGCCGCGGCGGCGCGGGGGGCCCCGGCTCCGCGGTGGCGGGCGGCAGTCACATGACGGAGATGGCCTTCTACGAGTTCACCTTCCGCAGGTTCTTCGACGACACGGGGCGCCCCTACCGCTCGCCACGACCCCTCGACGACATTCAGGACCTCGCTGGGCGGGGCGGCTACGACGGGGGGCGGGGCGGCTACGACGGGGGGCGGGGCGGCTACGACGGGGGGCGGGGCGGCTACGACGGGGGGCGGGGCGGCTACGACGGGGGGCGGGGCGGCTACGACGGGGGGCGGGGCGGCTACGACGATGGGCGGGGCTACGACGATGGGCTGGGCTACGACGGGGAGGAGGGACGGGGTTACGACCCTGCGTGCCAGGGCTTGGAGAGGCGGTGCTCGCCGGGACAGGGCGGGGGCGAGAGCACGGGAGAGGCGGCCCAGGCGCCCGTCAACCCGGTCTACGTCTGACGGCGCCCGGCTCTCCTCCGCTGCCTTCGAGGGGGTGAGGGGAGGCCCCCCGCAAGAAACCGACCGGGCGACTTCGCCACGAGAAGCGGAGGAGGGGGGGGGGGGAAGGGAGCGGGAAGAGGATGGGGGGTTGGGGGGGTCCAGGAGATTGTTTTGCTGATTCTCGGCCCACCCGCAAAGGCAACACCGCCTCTGTCCACACAGCCAGGCCACACAGCCAGGCCACCCACACGGCCTCTCGGCCACACAGCCAGCCACACAGCCACTCATCCACCCACCCACACACCCACACAGCCACTCATCCACCCACCCAGCCACACACCCACTCATCCACCCACCCAGCCACACAGCCACTCATCCACCCACACACCCACTCATCCACCCACACAGCCACTCATCCACCCACCCAACCACACACCCACACAGCCACTCATCCACCCACCCAGCCACACACCCACTCATCCACCCACCCAGCCACACAGCCACTCATCCACCCACCCAACCACACACCCACACAGCCACCCACCCACACACCCACACAGCCACTCATCCACCCACCCAGCCACACACCCAGCCACCCACCAGCAGCTCTGCCCACAGACCCCTGCCGGTCGTCCGCTACGGAGCGTGTGTGCGGGTGCGTTCCCGCGACTTGTGTAGTAAACGTCGCCACCGGGGAGACAAAGGCGGCCGGGCGTGGTGCTGGCCACCCCCACCGCCTCGTGTGCCCCAGCGCCGGCAGCCTTCACAGGTGCTGCTGCTACTCGCTCACAGCACTTGCCCCAACAGCCTGCCGAGGGCTACACGGGGTACCTTTGTAACTGTATATATGAACGCGTGCGTGCGTGTGTGGCTACTGCTAATTGTGCACGCAAACTTTAAACAATCCAAGTTCATTATCATTATGCGACGGTCAATGTTAATGACACACATCCACTACACAGCGCTACGTGTGTGTGTGTGTGTATACACACACACACACACACGTAGCGTGTTGTCAACTTCTATTTCCTGCACCTCCGATTAGCACGGTGGCCTACGTACGGTGTGTTAAGAAGTTCAGCGCACACTACACCACGCGCGTGTATCTGTATATAAGTCGTCGCCACGTTTCAATTCCAATTGTAGCGCCAAATGGACCTCTTAACGCCTTGTGTATGGTGCGTCGATTTATTATTATTTTTATTATTTTTTCCGGACGATGTTATCGTCGTCCGCGAGGGCCGATGTCCACGGCGTCGTGACGGTCTAGCAGCACACTGGGCTCGTGGGGGGGGTTGGGGGCGGGTGCGGTGGGGAACAGTTTGGGCACTCTCCAGCCCTGAGACCAGCGTGGTAGAGGAGCGAGACCAAGACCAAATACCCCAGCGGGGGTGGGGGGGAGATCGCTCGCTCGCTCGGCTGCTCTCTCGGCCGCTCTCTCGCCGGAACTCCCCGACAGGAGATCGCCACGGGCGGGACGCCAGCGGTAGCGTGATTGGGCGATCGCGGGTGCCTCTCCCCCCCCCCCCCATCCTATACACATTAATAATACCTTTGTCCTGAGCAATATGACTGTCCTAACCGGCGATTATTACTCTCCTTTTTAAAGTAACTTTTTTTTATATCTTACCAGGTGAGGCAGACGGAGCTACGTAGCCCGTTTTTCAGAAGCGACACGGCCGGCACAAATGTAAAGACGCTCAACGGAGTGGGTTGTCGTCATCACGTGGAAATTGATACCATCGGCCAAATTACTGTACACGGAGCGGCGACGTCGATTCTCAACGTGGAGGGGGGGAAAAACCGGAGGGCCCGGAGAAAAATTCAAATCTACAGCAGCAGGCGCCGTCAGCGTCGGGATCGTACCCACGACCTCCTGCGTACCAGGCGAGGTAGTTAACATCCCCTAGCCACCGTGATGATGATGAGAGAGACACTTCAACTCCAAATCTACAGCAGCAGCAGGCATCGTCAGGGTCGGGATCGAACCCACGACCTCCTGCGCACCAGGCGAGGTAGTTAACATCTCATAGCCACCGTGATGATGATGATGAGAGAGACACACAAACTCCAAATATACAGCAGCAGCAGGCACGGTCAGCGTCGGGATCGAACCCACGACCTCCTGCGTACCAGGCGAGGTAGTTAACATCTAGCTGCCGTGTCTCAGTTTCGGGACCTCCAGGCAAATGTCACGTGGGGTGGGGGGGGGGGGGATGAGGTTGCAATTCAGCCTTAAAGTGACAGCCAATTGAGTTTGCTGTCTGGAGGTTCGGGAAGGCAGGGAGCGGGCACATCTGAGAGCGGAGTCCGTCCGTGCAGAATATCCGAATATCATAATTTATATCGTGTATTTATCACTTAAGTGTTTGTTTCCACAAGTTGGTGGTGGGGCTGGGGTGATGGATTTGTGTACAAACTTGGAAGTCTCGATGCTTTTCATTCGAATATTTTACTTCCGGCTGCGTTTTTTGTGTTTTAAGGAACTCCGTAGCGCGTAATTAATCTCGCCCCCCCCCCCCCTCCCCGAACTCTTGAGAGTCTGTCGAAGCTGTTCTGCACCAATTCTCAGAGAGGGGGGGAGCCACTTTCTCGAGCTGAACCACGCTGAGTTGTTACTTTTCCAGTTACAAGGGGCCCCCCCGCTGAGCTGTTTGAGCTCCGCATTTCAGAGCGCGCCCTGGCCACAGGCAACCGCTCGGCAAAGTGGCTCTCCCTCACCGTCGCCGCGTGGACGTTTGTCACACAACTCTCTCGCGTTGGGTCCTCCGGATGGAACTTTCATTTCTTTAGAACTGCCGCTCGTCGTCGCCATCGTGTTTGGTGTTGGTGTCGTTCCCCTGCACGTCCAATTAGCACGGTTGGCTACGCACGGTGTGAAAGACGTTCAACGCACGTACACACGCACGCACACACACGCACGCACACGCACGCACACACCCACCCACAGGCACCCAGATCCACGGAGACCCACAGATTATCACGGTTTGGCTATGTACGGTGCAAAAAGAAGTTCTACACTGCGATACACTACACCCGCACCTCCAATCAGCACGGTTTGGCTACATACTACACTACACCCGCACCTCTGACTAGCACGGTTTGGCTACATACTACACTACCAACTAGCACGGTTTGACTACATACTCCACTACCAGCTAGCATGGTTTGACTACATATTACACTACCAACTAGCACGGTTTGACTACATACTCCACTACTAACTAGCACGGTTTGTCTACATACTCCACTACCAGCTAGCACGGTTTGGCTACATACTCCACTACCAGCTAGCACGGTTTGACTACATACTACACTACCAACTAGCACGGTTTGACTACATACTCCACTACCAGCTAGCACGGTTTGGCTACATGCTACACTACACCCGCACCTCCAATCAGCACGTTTTGGCTACATACTACACTACCAATCAGCACGGTTTGGCTACATACTCCACTACCAACTAGCACGGTTTGGCTACATACTCCACTACCAGCTAGCACGGTTTGGCTACATACTCCACTACCAACTAGCACGGTTTGGCTACATACTCCACTACCAGCTAGCACGGTTTGGCTACATACTCCACTACCAACTAGCACGGTTTGGCTACATACTCCACTACCAGCTAGCACGGTTTGGCTACATACTCCACTACCAGCTAGCACGGTTTGGCTGCATACTCCACTATCAGCTAGCACGGTTTGACTACATACTCCCACTACCAACTAGCACGGTCTGGCTACATACTCCACTACCAGCTAGCACGGTTTGGCTACATACTCCACTACCAGCTAGCACGGTTTGGCTACATACTCCACTACCAACTAGCACGGTTTGGCTACATACTCCACTACCAACTAGCACGGTTTGGCTACATACTCCACTACCAGCTAGCACGGTTTGGCTACATACTCCACTACCAGCTAGCACGGTTTGGCTACATACTCCACTACCAGCTAGCACGGTTTGGCTACATACTCCACTACCAGCTAGCACGGTTTGGCTGCATTGGGTACGCAAAAGGAGTTAACGCGCGCTGTCTCGGGGCACAGACGCCGAGGGTCTTGGTGGCGACCTCTCGAATGTCGCGGTGTCGTTCCCACCGTAAACATTCCCTCGTCTTGGGCCAGTTGAATATTCCATGATTTCACTTTACATTTCTGAACACCCCCTTCCTTACCCCTCTCCCACCAGTTGTATAGATATTTATATACGTGAGTGAGTGTGTGATAGTGAGAGTGTGTGAGTGAGTGTTTCGGTGAGTGGGTAATAGTGAGTGTGTGGGTGAGTGGGTGATAGTGTGTGGGTGAGTGGGTGATAGTGTGTGGGTGAGTGGGTGATAGTGTGTGGGTGAGTGGGTGATAGTGTGTGGGTGAGTGGGTGATAGTGTGTGGGTGATAGTGGGTGATAGTGTGTGGGTGATAGTGTGTGGGTGATAGTGGGTGATAGTGTGTGGGTGATAGTGGGTGATAGTGTGTGGGTGATAGTGGGTGATAGTGTGTGGGTGATAGTGGGTGATAGTGTGTGGGTGATAGTGGGTGATAGTGGGTGATAGTGTGTGGGTGATAGTGGGTGGGTGATAGTGGGTGATAGTGTGTGGGTGATAGTGGGTGATAGTGTGTGGGTGATAGTGGGTGATAGTGTGTGGGCGAGTGGGTGAGTCGGTGTGTGGGCGAGTGGGTGAGTCGGTGTGTGAGTGGGCGAGTCGGTGTGTGAGTGAGAGAGTGAGTCGGTGGGTGAGTCGGTGAGCGCCGATTCGTCGTATTCCATTGCCAGCTGAGGACCGTGAACGTGCAAATGTTCAGCTACCCCCACCCCACCCCCTCCCTCTCTCCCCCTCCAAAGGACCACATTCAATCACTTCTCATCTGTGTACTAAAACCCCGCTGTGGGAGTAAGCTTGTGGGGGGCAGTCGCCCCCCCACGTTATTATGTTTGACAAGGCTCACGCTCGGCAGAACGAACGATGTCGTTTTTGTTTTAAACTCTGCAAAGAAATGTGTTGTGTGTGTGGTGTTGTGTGTGTGGTGTTGTGTGTGTTTTGTGTGGTGCGTATGTTTGGTGTATGTGTGTTGTGTGTGTTATGTGTGGTGTATGTTGTGTGGTGTGTGGTGTATGTTATGTGGTGTGGTGTGTGTGGTGGTGTGTATGTGGTGGTGTATGTGTGTGTAGTGTGTGTGTGGTGTTTGTGTGTGTAGTGTGTGTGTGGTGTTTGTGTGTGTGGTGGTGTATTGGTGTGTTATGTGTGTGGTGGTGTGTGTAGTGTGTGTGTGTGTGTGGTGGTGTGTGTGGTGTATGTTGTGTGGTGGTGTGTGGTGTATGGTGTGTGGTGTATGTTATGGTGTATGTGGTGGTGTGTGTGGTGGTGTATGGTGTGTGTATGTGTGGTGATGTGTGTGTGTCTGTGTGTGGGGTATTCTACGTGCTGGTGCTGCGCGAGTTTGGAGGTTTTAGTTTGTCGGACGACGCTGTCCGGGGCTAAGGGCTGTTTGGAGGAGAAGGAGACGATTAAGAAAAACGCATTCGCTGTGTTGGCGACTTTGTATCGAGTTGTACATTACTTAATAGGCGGCTGTGTTATTTTTGTATCGTGGGGGGGTGACACGGGGGGGGAGGGGGAGGCAATTTATTATTATTTTTATAATTATTAATACAAATGCTGTGTATTTGTCTTATGAATACAGTCTTCGTGCAAAGTTATCGTCATCATCCTCCTACTTGCTGTGTTTGATGGGGAGATGTTAACTACTTCGCCTGAGTGGAGTTTGTATGATCTCCCCCTGTTCTACAGAATGAGTGGAGTTTGTGTGATCTCCCCCTGTTCTACAGAGTGAGTGGAGTTTGTATGATCTCCCCTGTCCTACAGAGTGAGTGGTGTTTGTGTGATCTCCCCCTGGCCTACAGAGTGAGAGGAGTTTGTGTGATCTCCGCCTGTTCTGCAGAGTGGAGTTTGTATGATCTCCCCCTGTCCTACGGAGTGAGTGGAGTTTGTATGATCTCCCCCTGTCCTACAGAGTGAGTGGTGTTTGTGTGATCTCTCTCTGTTCTACAGAGTGAGTGGAGTTTGTATGATCTCCCCCTGTCCTACAGAGTGAGTGGAGTTTGTATGATCCCCCCCTGTCCTACAGAATGAGTGGAGTTTGTATGATCTCCCCCTGTCCTACAGAGTGAGTGGAGTTTGTATGATCTCCCCCTGTCCTACAGAGTAAGTGGAGTTTGTAGGATCTCCCCCTGTTCTACAGAATGAGTGGAGTTTGTATGATCTCCAGAGTGGAGGTTGTATGATCTCCCCCTGTCCTACAGAGTGAGTGGAGTTTGTATGATCCCCCCCTGTCCTACAGAATGAGTGGAGTTTGTATGATCTCCCCCTGTCCTACAGAGTGAGTGGAGTTTGTATGATCTCCCCCTGTCCTACAGAGTGAGTGGAGTTTGTATGATCTCCCCCTGTTCTACAGAATGAGTGGAGTTTGTATGATCTCCCCCTGTCCTACAGAGTGGAGGTTGTATGATCTCCCCCTGTCCTACAGAGTGAGTGAGTGGAGTTTGTAGGATCTCCCCCTGTTCTACAGAGTGGAGTTTGTATGATCTCCCCCTGTCCTACAGAGTGAGTGGTGTTTGTGTGATCTCCCTCTGTTCTACAGAGTGAGTGGAGTTTGTATGATCTCCCCCTGTCCTACAGAGTGAGTGGAGTTTGTATGATCCCCCCCTGTCCTACAGAATGAGTGGAGTTTGTATGATCTCCCCCTGTCCTACAGAGTGAGTGGAGTTTGTATGATCTCCCCCTGTCCTACAGAGTGAGTGGAGTTTGTAGGATCTCCCTCTGTCCTACAGAGTGAGTGGAGTTTGTAGGATCTCCCCCTGTTCTACAGAGTGAGTGGAGTTGGTATGATCTCTCCCTGTCCTACAGAGTGAGTGAGTGGAGTTTGTATGATCTCCCCCTGTCCTACAGAGTGGAGGTTGAATGATCTCCCCCTGTCCTACAGAGTGAGTGAGTGGAGTTTGTAGGATCTCCCCCTGTTCTACAGAGTGGAGTTTGTATGATCTCCCCCTGTCCTACAGAGTGAGTGGTGTTTGTGTGATCTCCCTCTGTTCTACAGAGTGAGTGGAGTTTGTATGATCTCCCCCTGTCCTACAGAGTGAGTGGAGTTTGTATGATCCCCCCCTGTCCTACAGAATGAGTGGAGTTTGTATGATCTCCCCCTGTCCTACAGAGTGAGTGGAGTTTGTATGATCTCCCCCTGTCCTACAGAGTGAGTGGAGTTTGTAGGATCTCCCTCTGTCCTACAGAGTGAGTGGAGTTTGTAGGATCTCCCCCTGTTCTACAGAGTGAGTGGAGTTGGTATGATCTCTCCCTGTCCTACAGAGTGAGTGAGTGGAGTTTGTATGATCTCCCCCTGTCCTACAGAGTGAGTGGAGTTTGTATGATCTCCCTCCGTCCTACAGAGTGAGTGAGTGGAGTTTGTATGATCTCCCCCTGTCCTACAGAGTGGAGTTTGTAGGATCTCGCCCTGTCCTACAGAGTGAGTGGAGTTTGTAGGATCTCCCTCTGTCCTACAGATTGAGTGGAGTTTGTAGGATCTCCCTCTTTCCTACAGAGTGAGTGAGTTGAGTTTGTAGGATCCCCCCCTGCCCTACAGAATGAGTGGAGTTTGTATGATCTCCCCTTGTCCTACAGAGTGAGTGGAGTTTGTATGATCTCCCCCTGTCCTACAGAGTGAGTGGAGTTTGTATGATCTCCCTCTCTCTTACAGAGTGAGTGAGTGGAGTTTGTGTGATCTCCTGTCCTACAGAGTGAGTGGAGTTTGTATGATCTCCCCCTGTCGTACAGAGTGAGTGGAGTTTGTGTGATCTCTCCCTGTCTTACAGAGTGAGTGAGTGGAGTTTGTATTATCTCCCCCTGTCCTACAGAGTGAGTGGAGTTTGTATGATCTCCCCCTGTCCTACAGAGTGAGTGGAGTTTGTAGGATCTCCCCCTGTCCTACAGAGTGAGTAGTTTGTATGATCTCCCCCTGTCCTACAGAGTGAGTGTGTGGAGTTTGTATGATCTCCCCCTGTCCTACAGTGAGTGGAGTGTGTGTGATCTCCCCCTGTCCTACAGAGTGGAGTTTGTAGGATCTCCCTCTGTCCTACAGAGTGAGTGAGTTGAGTTTGTAGGATCCCCCCCTGCCCTACAGAATGAGTGGAGTTTGTATGATCTCCCCTTGTCCTACAGAGTGAGTGGAGTTTGTATGATCTCCCCCTGTCCTACAGAGTGAGTGAGTTGAGTTTGTAGGATCCCCCCCTGCCCTACAAAATGAGTGGAGTTTGTATGATCTCCCCCTGTCCTACAGAGTGAGTGGAGTTTGTATGATCTCCCCCTCTTTTACAGAGTGAGTGAGTGGAGTTTGTGTGATCTCCTGTCCTACAGAGTGAGTGGAGTTTGTATGATCTCCCCCTGTCCTACAGAGTGAGTGGAGTTTGTGTGATCTCTCCCTGTCTTACGGAGTGAGTGGAGTTTGTATTATCTCCCCCTGTCCTACAGAGTGAGTGGAGTTTGTATGATCTCCCCCTGTCCTACAGAGTGAGTCGAGTTTGTAGGATCTCCCCCTGTCCTACAGAGTGAGTGGAGTTTGTATGATCTCCCCCTGTTCTACAGAGTGAGTGGAGTTTGTATGATCTCCCCTGTCCTACAGAGTGAGTGGAGTTTGTGTGATCTCCCCCTGTCCTACAGAGTGAGTGAGTGGAGTTTGTATGATCTCCCCCTGTCCTACAGAGTAAGTGGAGTTTTATGATCTCCCCTGTCCTACAGAGTAAGTGGAGTTTTATGATCTCCCCTGTCCTACAGAGTGAGTGGAGTTTGTGTGATCTCCCCCTGTTCTACAGAGTTGTGGAGTTTGTGTGATCTCCCCCTGTCCTACAGAGTGAGTGGAGTTTGTGTGAACTCCCCCTGTTCTACAGAGTGGAGTTTGTGTGATCTCCCCCTGTCCTACAGTGAGTGAGTGGAGTTTGTATGATCTCCCCCTGTTCGACAGAGTGAGTGGAGTTTGTGTGATTTCCCCCTGTCCTACAGAGTGAGTGTAGTTTGTATGATCTCCCCCTGTCCTACAGAGTGAGTGGAGTTTGTGTGAT